AAGTGCTAATATTAATACTGATACTAACTAAATGCTAATATCAATACTGATACTAACTGCACCACATACTACTAACTAAATGCTAATATTAATACTGATACTAACTAAATGCTAATATCAATACTGATACTAACTGCACCACATACTACTAACTAAATGCTAATATTAATACTGATATATACTAAATGCTAATCTTAATACTGATACTAACTAAATGCTAATATTAATACTGATACTAACTGCACCACATACTACTAACTAAATGCTAATATTAATACTGATATATACTAAATGCTAATTTTAAAACTGATACTAACTGATTGCTAATATTAATACTGATACTAACTGCACCACATACTACTAACTAAATGCAAATCTTAATACTGATACTAACGAAATGCTAATCTTAATACTGATATAAACTAAATGCTAATATTAATACCAATACCAAAAACATGCTAATATTAATACTGATACAAACTAAATGCTAATATCAATACTGATACTAACTGCACCACATACTACTAACTAAATGCTAATCTTAATACTGATACTAACTAAATGCTAATATCAATACTGATACTAACTGCACCACATACTACTAACTAAATGCAAATCTTAATACTGATATAAACTAAATGCTAATCTTAATACTGATATAAACTAAATGCTAATATTAATACTGATACTAACTACACTACATACTACTAACTAAATGCTAATATTAATACTGATACTTACTACACCACATACTACTAACTAAATGCTAATATTAATACTGATACTAACTGCACCACACTCTACTAACTAAGTGCAAATCTTAATTCTGATACTAACTCAATGCTAATCTTAATACTGATATAAACTAAATGCTAATATTAATACTGATACTAACTACACTACATACTACTAACTAAATGCTAATATTAATACTGATACTAACTACACCCCATACTACTAACTAAATCCTAATATTAATACTAATACTACCGGTAACTATGCTATTTGTTTACACACAGATGTTGAGTGACATCACAGAGCTGAATGTGCGTCCAAGATACCGGAAGTGATAATGCAGGTATTGCAAGTTTTCAAGGAAAATACAAGGGGGTGTCAACACGTTTTTAACCTCACATCAATTCAGATATCTGTGAGATATCATTCTTTATGGAGCCACATGTAAGGACGGTCTCTGTGGAGCCACATGATAGGGTGGTCTCTGTGGAGCCACATGTTAGGGGGGTGTCCATGGAGCCACATGATAGGGTGGTCTCTATGGAGCCACATGTAAGGATGGTCTGTGGAGCCACATGTTAGGACGGTCTCTGTGGAGCCACATGATAGGGTGGTGTCCATGGAGCCACATGTTAGGACGGTCTCTGTGGAGCCACATGATAGGGTGGTCTCTGTGGAGCCACATGTTAGGACGGTCTCTGTGGAGCCACATGATAGGGTGGTGTCCATGGAGCCACATGTTAGGACGGTCTCTGTGGAGCCACATGATAAGGTGGTCTCTGTGGAGCCACATGATAGGGTGGTCTCTGTGGAGCCACATGATAGGATGGTCTCTGTGGAGCCACATGATAGGATGGTGTCCATGGAGCCACATGTTAGGACGGTCTCTGTGGAGCCACATGTTAGGACGGTCTCTGTGGAGCCACATGAAAGGACGGTCTCTGTGGAGCCACATGATAGGGTGGTGTCCATGGAGCCACATGTTAGGACGGTCTCTGTGGAGCCACATGATAGGGTGGTCTCTGTGGAGCCACATGTTAGGACGGTCTCTGTGGAGCCACATGTTAGGGTGGTGTCCATGGAGCCAAATGTTAGGACGGTCTCTGTGGAGCCACATGATAGGGTGGTGTCCATGGAGCCACATGTTAGGACAGTCTCTGTGGAGCCACATGATAGGGTGGTCTCTGTGGAGCCACATGATAGGGTGGTGTCCATGGAGCCACATGATAGGATGGTCTCTTTGGAGCCACATGATAGGGTGGTGTCCATGAGCCACATGATAGGACGGTCTCTGTGGAGCCACATGATAGGGTGGTGTCCATGGAGCCACATGTTAGGACGGTCTCTGTGGAGCCACATGATAGGGTGGTGTCCATGGAGCCACATGATAGGATGGTCTCTATGGAGCCACATGTAAGGATGGTCTGTGGAGCCACTTGATAGGATAGAATGGTCTCTGTGGAGCCACATGATAGGATGGTCTCTGTGGAGCCACATGATAGGATAGTCTCTGTGGAGCCACATGATAGGGTGGTGTCCATGGAGCCACATGATAGGATAGAATGGTCTCTGTGGAGCCACATGATGCTGACAAACGTGGAAACCAAATCTAGAACCAGGATTTGAACTCACAATCATAGGTTTCTGGCATGCACAAGGGTGGCAACCCTGCACAGCAAACCGAGATGATTCTGATGAACAACTTGCCACCATGGATGAGTCATGCATTCACCATATCAGCTAGAGCCCAAACAGCCAAAGCAGTGGAAACTCCTCCAAAGAAGGCAAAGTCTGTTCAATCAGCTAGCAAGGTGGTGGTTTGGTGTTCTGGGATTCCAAAGGAGTAAGACCTATATGACCAATATGGCGCTAATTGCTTTGTCAACTGCTGGAGACTATCAAAGTTAAACGTCATTGAAAACTCACTAAAGGTGTGATGTTCCACCATTCTGTGGCCATGGCTGCAATGCATCAAACATCCTGCATATTCACCCAATTTGGCACCATGCTACAGTTTAACATGGATATCCCATTGAGACACATTATACTGACTGCACAAACTAGTGCCATATTTTAATGTCATTTGGTACAATGTGGCTGGTGATTGGACCACAGGACCTTCTGCTCTCTCCACTTGTACACGGAGGTGGTCACAAATGATATCATTTCTGCTGTAGAGGACCAGGGCCCACTTGCACAGAACGATCTTACGCGCCTACAATCAACTCTACAATCACCATACAATTGTCCTATTCCTCATGCACAGACTGATCTTAGTGCAATTGTAAGACGGCTACAGTTTTCTGCAAACGTGCATAGCTTGCTGCGAAAACAATAAGTGGAACCGGTAGCGACACACAACACATACCTCCCTCCATCGCACCTTGCACAGGTTTAACAAAGGTCCCAATTATTGGAAGGAAACGATTACTAGAATGATGGCATATATTTTTGTCGGCATTAAAACTGTCGTGATTTTGGAATTGTTTTGGTATTGCAACTAGAGAAATACCTACTCATGATTTATTAAAAGTATTGAAATCAGATAAATTCAATATTTAGTGACATAATCATTATGAAAATTTAAATCAATAATAATAATAATATGTCCTAATAACATAACACGTAAATGTATGATCGTCATCTATTTGGGGGAGCTTTTTGTAAAATCCAAAATATTTCCTTCACGTTTTCGTTTCGTTGCTATAACAAAGGATGTTATGACTACCTTTTTAAAACACAGAAAGATGGAGGATTTAAAGAATGCATGGACGGGAAATAAGAATAATGATTAATGTCGAGAAAGCAGTTGTTTAATATACATGTATATTCACTGGTTATTAATTAAATTGATAATTATTTTTAAAAAGTGTGATATGAACGTTTGCTATTCATGTGACATTTTACACAAATTTCTCGTGTATTTGCTTGTTTGATAAATACTTGTATTTTTTTCTTTTAAATTCAGATAATAAAACCTCTCGCCTCCGTCTAAGTCGATTTTAGATTTAAACATGTATGGTTTTGCTCTTCAACTTGTATTTATTTGTAGATTAATTTAATGACAAATGTGACCTTAAAGAAATATAGGGGAGCTCAGTGATTCTACATCAATACACTGGGTAAGGTAGATTGTACTCTTCAGGCTTATACAAAGGGAAACCACTCCCATCTAGAGTATAAACCAAGATTAGCTGCCCTTGATTTATCCAAAAGGTCACTGACGTTACAAATCGCTTGCAGACGACTTAGGTTTTTATCCTTCCTTTGATTAGCGAAAAAGTTACGAGGGCCGTTCAATAAGTTTTGCAACTTCGCAGAATATCTTTTGCACTTTTATTTTTCAATATAATCTCCATTCACCTCAATACACTTATTCCATTTGTCCTTCAAGCTTTTAATACCAATTTTATAGAAATCCGCAGATTGGCCCTCTAACCATGCCTCTGAGGCAGCCTTTATGTTCTCGTCATCCTGGAAGCGTCTTCCACGTAGGAACAGTTAACAGTCACTGGGGGCTAAGTCTGGGCTGTACAGTTAAATGACCCACCCTACAGCCCAATTCAAAACATGAAAAAAACATTTTCTCAGAAAATCCACTTATCAAAATCTATTGGTATAGAAACTGTACTCCCCCAATTGGAAAAGAATCCATTAAGTAGTTTTCAAGTTATAGGTCGCAGAAACAATGTCCTTGGACGGACAGATTTCCTTGGTATAACTATATACCCCCGCCCTTTTAGATTGGGGATATAATAAGAGTCATCAGTAGATGACTAGTCTCCCCCGCCCCCACTTATTCGAAAGAACAAATCATCTGATTGTTACGGCAAGTCCTACAAGAATGATGTCCAACTTGCTGAAGGTATTCTTATCTTATCTGTTCGTATACAAGAGAAGTTATTGACCTATCAACACAATACCATGGAGTTGGGATTCGGAAATTTGTATTTGAAGTCAGGTGCTTTTTTTGGCAAAGATACGAGTTAGTGGATGTCACACAATAGGTACATGGCTTATGCTGTAATCTGCTGCATTACTAACTGTAGTTATGAATAGTTACTGGGGGTGGTGAGGGTATGTGTGGTGGTGGGGTGTGTGAGATAAAAATACAAACATGAAAACCCATTCTCATCGAGAAACTCAAAATGAGTAAGATGCCAGTCAGGCACGATGCAGATAATCAAGTCTGAGCGGCCATCAGCCAGGTATATAAATTAATACAATCCCAAAGACGTTCAGACTAATGATGACAAAGCTCAATCTTAGTTGTGAAAAATGATTTATTCATGACATGATAAATGATAAAATACAAAGTATCTGCTTGTCAGCTGGCGTGCAATGTTGGCGTCTGAAGGCGGGGTGTGCAATGCCAGCAGACGCCAACGAAGGTGCAATGCTGACAACAGACAAGTAAAATGTCTGTACTGTACCTCTTGCATACCAACCTCTCATCCTTCCACACTTGTAGGCGACACAGAAATAACATCCATCCACCCACACGTCTGGCAATATGACGCGATCACCCGACTACTCCATACCAGTACGGTCAGGGCTGGATACGCTCCATATAGCCTGTTTATCTGGGAATGAACATTCACAAAGGCAACACTCCAAGAAAGTTTTGTGAAACAGTTCATTTGTCCAACTGCAGCATGATGTCCAATAATCACGGGTTTTTTTACTTCTTAGCATATGATATTTTCATGGCATTGCTTGGTGTGATCTTAAATCCTTGTAAAGCCTCTTTAGCAGCACCAGCCTGAACATCGGTCTCAAACTCCACGAAAGCAATGTCGTGTCTGCCCGGGACAAGACGAACCTCTTTGAATCCAGGAAATCTGAAAAACAGGTTCGGTAACATTTACATATGCCCCAAAATGAGTTTATCATTTTCAGTATAAGGTTTTAGGTGTTGAAGATAGAATATACATACAGCTTGTAATAGTCTTAAATATTCTACCACATTTGAAACTTAAATTAACAAAGTGTTGTGGTATGGATCTTAATTACTAAGAAAAAGTCAGGGCTTGATTACAGGAACCTGATTTAACTTGCACAAGGTGCATGTTCACATGAAAGGTAGTTGCACAAGGCAAAACTAGATTGATTAACTTATAGGACCAGAGTGCAAAGTTGAAACAGATGCATTAACTAGTCTAAATAAATAACATCTCCGATCTCTTATGACTCCTGAATTACACAAAACACAGGTACTAGTGATGTAGTATGGTACATAAGGCTTAGGTATTGAGTGTGCTCAAAGATCTATGTGATGTGGACATCTAAGGGTAGGGCAACCAAAAGTGTGATTTGTTTTACATGCTGGTTATCACATAAATATTAGGTTGCATTTTTCAATGGTAGGTGGCACTGGTGCATGTTTTATATGGCTAAATCAAGCCCGAAAGTACTTACTGATTGAACAACATGGACAACATCATTTCGTTGGTTTCCTCGGGGAGGTTTGTGATGAACAGAATCTGGTTTGGAGGCTGTTCCGGGATGGCAGTGGATGGGGCGGCAGGAGCAGCTGCAACATCAGAGGACAACATGAAAACAGCGGTAGAGTTATTTATTGTTGGCTCATGAGTTGATCACTCTGCAGCATTCATCTTGGTTTTAAGCACATTCGCAACACTACCAAGGCCGTAACTTTACTTTTAATGGGGTTACGGACCAGAGCAGCCTAAGAAAAGTTGGGTAAGAAAATAAGATAAAAATAAAACTCAGTTGTATTTTGGGGGGCTGTTTTCTGGTTATAAAAGTTAGGCAGGTCAACATAGCAACGTGTGAGCAATGTTTGTTTCCAAATACTAATTAACTTTTATGTTTAATAAAGAAATCCAGAAAAAGTAGGTTGGGGTAATTCATTGGCTTTCACTTTAGAGACACTAAAGATACAACAAAAAAGATAAAAGCTTTAAAACCTTTCAGCAGGAATTTGATTGCTTCCTCACAACACAGTAGCCTTACATTTATGTATCCCCACAAAATCAAATTTAATCAAAATAGAAAATACTTTTTAAAGTACCATATTTTGACAACAGTGCGCACCCAAGACGTAAATAAGGCGGAAATAGCAATCAGCTGTACACATGTTCTCCCAGACCTACTGGCAATTCACTTAAAAAATACCTGAGAAAATAAATGAATTTTGATGCAGTGATTGGAATAAATTGTATCTGAAAATATTATTTTCCCAGGAATAATATATTCAAGTATCGCGTTAATTTATTTGCAGTTTTTACTAAATACAAATCTAAAATAATAACCCTAAGTGTAAGAAGTCAAGGCTGAAGCTGTGTATCCATCCTATCATTTTACGTTTGTTTCAAAGTGCCAATAGTGGTAACTGATGGGGGTTGCCATAAATAACAGTGAGTTGGTGAGACTTGCCGATCAGTTCACACATGACTTCTCCGAAATTAATGTAAACAATATTGAATGAAATTAATAAAAAAGATAAGTCCACATACACAGTGAACACTTTCTATAACCAGATACTCGCAAAATATGTGCATGAACATGGGTGATGCCATCTTGTAAACACTTCGTATCAAGGAGTTAGGATCAGAGTAGCCTCCCTTGGAGTCAGTCCCGCATTAAATGAGGTCGCCATAACATTGTCATTTCTATTTGAAAGTCATTTACGAACAATTGGTTAAAAAAAAATGAAGGGGGATAGGTTGTAGGTTTGGTTTTTTCAACAAAATATCGGCAGTTTTCTGCAAAATATAATCTGACATGAAAATCGCCCCAATTTTTTCGTTTTGAAAGCACAGAAGATCCGTAAACCTAAACATAAAAAAAACTGTAGCCTAAGTTTGTGGGCAATATGATTGTTACCTGGATAAGCAAAGAGTGTGCGAATGTTGTTTAGCTAAAAGTGCATGGTAAATTGCAAACTGTACAATTTTCAGTGATGTCAAGTGCACACTGTATCTGATGAAATTTCCCGTACTCACCTGCAACAGGCTGCATAGGGGGCTGGGCCATTGGTTGTGCAACGGGTGCTGCTGGGGGCTGAGCAGGTGGAGCTCTGCAACACATTAAGGCTTATTAATTCCTCAGGAGGAAATGGACAAAAACTCATTTTTTTCAAGACTTATTGAACTCTATGAGGAAATATTAAGCACAAACAACTTATTTGACACCCTGAAACTTACTTGATTTGTTGAGTTTTCTTCTTTTTGCGTGGAGCTTCCTCCTCATCCTTCTTCCTCCGCGGCTCTTCTACGTATGTCCCCTTCATCTTGGCGATCACATGGGAGTCTCGCTTAGAAAACTGTATCCTCTGCAATGAGAGTCAGAACTCAATAAATGTTCCTAAGACTTGTGTTTTAACTTAGATCATTTTTGAGGAACTTAAATTAAGCCCAAAGTGATGCAGGTCTTGGACGTTTACCACTTCGGTGAAACTCAAGAGCACGGGTATGGTGCTGACCGGTCACCGTTAATGAAGCTAGACATTATTTTCCTCTTATGCAATAAAAGGATTACAGAAACATTTGTGAAATTTTAGAATGTCATAATGTCAAAGAAATAATTGTTCAAAATTGACCAAGAAAAATCTAAAAAACACTTGATTTTTATATTTTAATTTGAAAATCCTGCATTGAACAAATCTACGAGTTTATTCCCTGTCCACTGTATCTATTTAAGCTATCTTGTACTAGTGAAATTTGTAAAAACAAAATTGAAATCTTATTCAACACTTGATAGCATATCATTGCAATTTCCTTTCAACAGGGTTTAACACGATGCAGAAGTGCAATCCACTTCTCAGAAATGTCTGGAGTGAACACAGGAAAAAATATATATTGCATCCCAATAATTAAAAGTAATGAATTGTATACTGTACTGTAAGATTTATTAATTACTTTAATAACAGGACCTTTATATTTCTTGACAAAAATTTGGTACAGTACCATACCAAGTGAAGAAGGAAATTGCAACATATTGTGTCAGGACAAGAATAATAAGAAATAGTAAGGTCGATGGCTTCATGCCAAGGCTGATTTGGCACAAAATGTCATCTGATGGCCACTTTATTCAGGGGTGCATGGCCATCATTCATGTGCAGTTACCATAGTTACCCCTTCACCCTGACCAATGCTAGAAGTCATCATTCGGATCATGTGACCGTTTTTACCATAGGCTTGTCATAGAAGGGGAATCCCTGCATTGATCGCATAGCATTAGCAGCGCTGTTGATATCTTTGAAAATCACGAAGGCTTGTCCTCTCATTTTCAGGGTCTTCAGAGCCACAATGTCCAGAATTTGACCAAACTGGGAGAAGATAGCATACAAGGACTTCTTGAGCTCTGGAAACAGGAAAACAAACAAGTGTCAACAAGGGTACAGAGAACACTCACTCTTCACAGCAATATGGGCCCTCTGTCGCAACATTTCAGACCCCTTGTTGGTGTTGGAATACTTGACCCTGGCTAATCTCATCTCCATGATCAATCATGATACAAAATGAATTATTAAGACTTGGTGACATGAATGGTATCAATGAAATTACTTTGGCAATCAGGAGAATTTAATGTTCTTTTTCAACTGTTAATATTCCTTAAATGTAATTTTAATACTTACCATCCTTTTTAATCTTTTCATTGAGGTTGTTGATGTACACGGTGTGATTGGGCTGAACAGACATCTTGCTGTTGCTTTCTGAAAAATAAGTGAACATGGTGAACATATTATTCAACTGCTCTCCTAAATTGTTTTTTTATAAGGTCCTCCCAAAAAATACCTTCAAGTATGGGGCCGAAGGTAGTATTTTCTAAAAATTAATATTCTTGTATTAAATGATGTTTCACGCACTTTAACAGATGGCTGTTGTGAACAGATGTTATTTACAATGTTTCTGCGGACACATCCAACTTTTCTGAATATTTATTTGTTGTTTAATGCGACACAAAGCAATATTTATAATCATCATGTGATAATATATTAACTGTATTGCAGAAAGACAATGTGGCGTACATAATAGCGTAATTCTACATTCAAAAGTGTAATTGTTATGACATATATTGATATCTGATACAAGAAGAATCTCAGAATGCCAGTGGAGGATCATTGACAACCGACTTCTGAGCAATACTGGTGGCCCATCATTTCACACCACTGAGGATAGCGGGTTGAATAGGTCCCTTGTAACTAGTGCTGTCATAGGCAAATAAAAAGGATTTGGTGGTTAGGCTGTGACTTGGTTCATTGCATGTCATACCTCGATGGCATGTTTTTAACAAGCATGAAATACTCAATTTTTCAAAAATCCCACACTATCAAAAGGCACCAGTTCACCATCAGACCTAGCCATGTGCCAAGTGTGGTTAAGATCTCTCATGGTTTTTGCTCCTTTCACTTTGTGGCGGGGGATAATATTACAGTAATATTTCTGGTAGGGACTTGATTTATTTACTTGAGCTTATTGCTATCCATGTACACATGAGGATTGAGTCGATCCAACAAGTCCTCAAATATTTCAATTAGATCATTCATATGTTTGTTGTTTAATGTCACTGACATCATGAGCATCGATTCACACAATTGGAATTAACCAAGTCAGCAAGCTTGACCACCCGATCCTGTTAGTCGCCTCTTACAACAAGCATAGTCGCCTCTTACAACAAGCATAGTCGCCTTTTACAGCAAGCATGGATTGCTGAAGATCTATACTGCCCCGGATCTTTATCATGTTCATGGGTCAATAATTGTTATGTAAAAATACATTACATTTTTTTATGTACAGCCTGAACACATCTTGTAACGAACTTGAATCAGCAGAGATGCCAAACTCAAATTTCCATATTTTGGCGACAGGAAACATTCACACAAGCCACTTTCACCCACTACATTTATTCAGTACTGATTGTGTCGTCACTGGCCATGCTTATGCCTCCCTCATTCCTTACAATTATCTACATTATCCTTACAGTCATCCACCCGAGGCAAGGGAGTTACTGACTGTAAAAGTCGAACTAGACTGAAATATCAGGCTTGATCGTAAGCCACCAGTGGTTATTACGAGTTATGTCCCTTCTATTTCACTCCTATTGACCAGTCAGATTCCACTTATATCACTTGCATTTGCTATAAACAAAATCTCTGCAACCAGTCAAGACGATATAATCGATAATCAAGATCTATATTGTCTTACCTCGCAAGGTGCATCAAATCACGTAAACACCTCGATTAAAAACAAAGAGATTTGGAAAATATCTGTCGATGCCCAGTTGACGGTACTCCATCTCGTAGATTACGGAATGGGACGAGTGAGCCAAATGGCATCATTATTACATGTAAGTGTCGGTAGATTTAAGTCACGAGACACCATGCCTACCCATAACCTTCATTAGTGTCTGTTATCCATTCGACCCTTTTTGTTCAGTTTTGTAACGTTGTAGGCACGACTAGGTTAATTTGCACTTAGTTTTACAATGTGTACGCAGCTCAGTCGGTTAGCTCTCGGGCTAACAATCCGAATGTTGCGGAATCTCACAAAAATTGGTTGCTTGTCTTTGATGAGCATAAATGATCTTTTGCATTGTATTTAATCACTCAAACTTCACAATCTGTAAACCTTCCAATCACAAGCCAAAACAAGAAGTTATTAATTAATTATTTATCGTTTGGAAAGACACTATGTAGGGAGGTCAATGTGCAGTTTACTGTTGATGTTTTGTGGACATTTTTTGTAGTATTATTCATTTAATCCAGGGTTTTACGTGAAACAAATGTGTGTCCAATACGCACAAATGTTAAAGATTTGATGCAGAAAAAGAATATACTGTGTCAAGACTCATTAAAGTCAAGGTAAAAACCCTGTATACTATTTTGACAGTATTTGATTTAAAATAAGGTTTCTACCAAATTGTAGGCCTAATGGTTGTGCATGTAGATCTGCACGCACGATAACCCGACGTCCGTACACGTGACCGAGATTAAGTTGAATTAATAAGAAGTATCCTATTTTTTTGGTGGCCATGACGGTGCACGAAATGTAATGTGGAACGAACCGTCTACAACTTCATCTCTTCCTTGGTTCAACATGAATTTCACATTATATTTTCTGTGAAAACGCAACACAAAAATCAAGAAATAGATTCCAATTCAACTGTTGCCATACTTTGTGACAACCAACACATACCTTTTTCTGCTTTAAACGAGAGCTTTAAGGTGGATTCCACCGATTTCACCTACCGGTTTCGTTGTTCTCACGTTGAGATGAAGTAATGGCAGCTTCCGCCGAATATCACAAACTTCCGGTTAATTAATATTCATATATTGTCTTATTATTTCAATATAGTATTTGATAAAGATACGCATAAATACCAAAAATCCATTATATGTGTGCAGTGTTATAATTATTTTCAATTAATTTCATCATTTCTGAAGATCGCGGATGACTGTGACTTCGTCCGCCATATTATTTTGATAGGAGGACGGGGGAGGCTCACTTCGCAAAATGGTATGTTTCTTATATACTTAACTTCGAATGAAATAATGAAATAACTTGTGTGAAGGCATGGCATTATACCTGTAGGTGTATGTATTTAGGTATGATAAAGGCGGTATCTTTTTCTGATCATGAGTGAGGTTGCAGAGCTTGTCAGGTTGAGTGAAGGAGGTGGTGTTTGGTCATGTGATAGTCTTGCAGTCGACAATATCACAGATATGAAAATGTCATTGTCAATGCTTACCAACACAAGAGGCTAAAAAACATGCGCATATATATATACAACATGTAGAGTGGTTGCTTAAAATACTAATGAGATCTGAAATGTTTGGTGTTTTATCATAACTGACGCAGGGCAAGGCTCAGCATGATCTTCCTTGTTCCCGAAGACAAGATAATATGGTGATAATGATGATTCGATTGCATTGAACTATCCTGTATTTACATGCCAGATGTAGTAGCGCATCGGTATGCACATATTGTTATTAATGTCAAGCTTTTTTGGAGCCAGTCAGTTCATCGTATGTTTAGGTCATGTCACACGATTTGTGTTCATTTCATGTAAACATTGTAATGCATGTGATCAAAAAGAGAAATCCCAAATGCCTTGTGTCCAGTCATGTAGGTAGTAATATCATATCCAGATAATATGTAAAGGCTAGAGCTATAAGAACTTGTTATCACATTATTTCCACAGTGTTTATTATCGAAAGTTCATCGCGATTACTCTCGCAATAACAAGGGGTGAGACGTCACACAGGCTTTATAAATACTCAGATGATGATTCACTGAAGTGGTAAAAGTCTGAGACCTGCATCACTTCGGGCTTTCCTCCCACATTAAGCTGACACGCCGTGATATAACTGGAATACTGTTAAAAGCGGCATTAAACCCAGCTCACTCACTCACTGACTCACTCAGATGATGACCTGTTTTGTAAGATAAAGTCATCTTCTATAAGGGAGTGAGATGTTTTACAGTTGTTCTTGCAATAAACGAGAAAAGTACAAGTGTTTCTTAAGCGTACAAAAACCCATAACACAGGGATATGCATATCAATGGTTGTCTTAATGCTGTCCTATCCAGTTTTTATGGTCATTGCTGGTGAACTCAAGACAGTAGGAAGGGTAGTCCCATACATGATCAATATTTGCGAAAGACATTTCCTAGAAGTCCACCTAACACATGATCATGATGACAGGATATTAAACAGTGTTTACAGAGACTTCCTTGTGTGACAAGTGAACGAACCCAGCTGACCATGACTTAAATAGCTATCTTCAACACAAACATGCATGAATGTGCTCAAATACATGATCATGATAATTTGAAACCTACACAATGACTTTGCTTGTGACAAAAATGGTAATAGGACATTTTCATGACTTTATCTATTTTTGATGGGACAGTTTTCTATATCAAAGGGGCTGACAATTTGGTATTCTGGATGGGGGGTGCTGGGATATTGTATGGAGACAAGCTATTTTTTTCAGCTACATATGCAAAACCAGACACATGTATTTTTCATGAAACCTATGACTATGAGCCTAAATATTATTTTTTTTAGAACAGCTTGCATCAACATATTTCTTGTGGCTGCCAATTTCTTTATATTTTAACAGTCAGAATCATAATTGATTTTATCAAGCCTTTTTGGGACAATATCTGTTTTCTCAATACAATCCCAGTTAATCTGATACCACCCATGATTATCCAGTGTTATTATGTAATTATATCTCCTTATCATGATTATGATTCCCCTTTACCCATTCATCCCACAGCTTTAGTTTTGAAGTGACAGCTCAATCTCCACCGCTCTTATCACTAACTAAAATAGGGGCCAGTCATTTAGGTCCCATCCTTCGTTGTGCAGAGTTGCGTCCCCTGGGCATGCCAGCAACCTGTGATTATTGGTTTGAATCCCACATTTGCCTGATTATGTATCCAGTATTGTCAGCATTTCACCAAAGTGATTGATGTCTAAGAACTGCATCACGTCAGGCTTTCCTCACACTTCAAGTTGAGACAAAGTCAGTGCTTCATGGTATTATACTGACTACACAAAATTTTCTGATTGAATAGATGTATTTGAAAAAATATAAATATTTCATCAAATCTTTATCCAAGACATTATCATTTAATTATAGGCATGTTTGATGTCTGTTATAAAATATTCTACCATTTATCACTGTCCAATGATATCTCTCCAGGAGCGTCCACATGTTTGTCCTGTTATCGTTGTGGGGCATTTGGTTGTGAAAATCCTCTTTTCTTGTTTGTTTCGCCATTTAAACTTTGAAACACAATATAATCCCAATCTTCAAACTTTCCCCCCAGTATTGTGTAAATGATCCAACATTCTTCACACCAGCTTTCACGCAGGAGGAAAATGAAAGTGAAAGGTCAAACATGTTACTAAATTTTGGAATGCAAGGCATAATTGTTTGAAATTATTTTGCGCTATGAAACTGTTTGGATAGGTGATTTATAAATATTCTTGTCACATTTAAAGCAAATTATGTTTTAAAAACCACAATAAAAATAAGAGATTCTTCATTCATGTTCATACGTAGCAGAAACACATTGTAACTAAAGGATATGAGGAATGCTTTTGGTAATACCACATTGAAATTATCTTTATGGTGCTTCCAGCACAAAGTATTAGATGAATTATGTTATTATTTTCAAGTCTGTAGACTTTTTAACTGGGAAAGCCCCTTTCAAACGTGCAATATGTTTCTGTGGCAGTGAACTATTAATTTAGTATCAATATTTAAGAAATGTATCGATTCAGCACTGACATTAATATTTTACTGATACATTGATTTTGGCATGACATCCTTAGTTTGCAGGCAACATATGAATGTTATTACACTTAATCCTGTGTGTGTATTGTTGCATAATCACAGGGACTGGGTAGGAAAACACCTTGATCTTAGTTCAAGGCAAGTGTCAGTTTCTAACCACAAGCTTATGTCTCCTGTTAGAGACATCCAAATTAAGAATTTCAAGTAAACATATATGAAGCTGCTTTGAACATATAACTTTGCATGTTGTTTTCACTCAGATAAATTGATCATATTTGGTATGCAACAAGTGCTCAATAAATTCCAACATTTACCACTTATATTTATCCATCTGTATTGTGTGTTGCAACATTCTGTTTTTCTTTCCTGTCAGTCATGTGACAACTGCCATTAAATGTGGAGTTACGGGTCAGGGCTTTTGCTAGTTAATGTTAATGGTAAGGAAAGTTACACCTAAACATGGCAAAGTGATGTGTACCTTCACACAACAGCATTATTTTCAGTAGATATTAGTCTTTGTTTGTGAAATAATACAAGCTGATCTTACTGGACCATAACAATATTTTTCTAGATAGGGGCTTCAGACATGTGGATAAAGTTGCAGACTGCAATATATGTGTGATAAATGTCTTTCTTTGGTGCAATATGATTGCCATTTGAAACAATCTGCAACCTCGACTCTTATCCAAAGTCTAAAGTCTTGTAAAATTTGGTTCAGTCTACATAGTAAAGTAATCTCAGCTGAGTTAATAATAATAATAATAATAATAAAGGTCCCTGTTTTGTACCAAATATACTGAAAAGCATGCAGAGAGCCAAGTTTAACCGAGTGAACTGAACATTTTTAATTGCACAGACTGTTAAGACATAAATTCTAAGATTTGTACCAAATAAATGGCTGTTCTTTTACATGTCAACTCATTTCAAATACGGCAAAATTGTGTTTTTTCACATGAAAATTTGACTAGAAATGTTGATACAGACACCTTCTTGAAATATTAAAAAGGATCTGTCACATTGTTTAATTTTTTAAACAGTTAACGAAGCTTAATAACTGCTGAAGAAATACTAGAGTGACTGTTGGAACCACTCCAGTCATAAATGGAACATTCCACACTGACAAGAAACACAGGAGTAATTGTATTCAATCTGCCTTATGATGATTGACGATAGGCAGCTGATGTGCATATTCTAACTCTTTCATGTTTAATTTTGACAAAATAGATAGTCAGTTGAGTATTTTTGTATTATTCTGTTATGGAAATGAGCCAGGAAGATAGCCTTTCTCCAACTAATTAGTTGTGAACATGCTGTACATGGTATAGTTTATCCAGTCTTTCTTATAACATATGACAAACTGTTTTGTATAGTTAGATCTCAATACAGCTACTAGTCAACATCAAACCACACCAGAGAGTCCTTGCTCAAATCAGTAAATAATATCACATGACATAACCAACAGAGAAACTGACAAATGGTTGTAGGGCTGAAGTTATTATTATTATTACCGTAATCGACATAATAAGCGCCCATGGCGCTCTCAAAATTAGAAATAGGGGGCTGTTATTAAAATATTATTTTGGTGGAAAAAAGAGAGTTGAAAGATAGATTTCGTGGTTTATGCTGACACACTGAAACGTTTATATGCGACAGATACATTTGCCCATAATTAAGAATGCATGTGACACACAAGTGCGTTTTATACGCGAATTAATAAGTCTCGTGTACATTGATCATTCTGAAGGAGTGCTAATTGGGATTGTTCACTAGCCAATATATTAGCAAATATCGCCGTGGGCGCTTATTAGAGCAGGGCGCTTATTACAAGGAATACGGTACACACTTTGTCTTAATACATTGTTTCACCCAAAGTAAAAAAATATGTATACTGGTTTCTTGTATACTTTGAAATTTGTTATAGATCATTGGTTTGTTGTCAACAGTACACATGCTACACAAATCACTGTGTTTGAGCACTGTAGCTATGTTGTCAACAGTAGCATGTGTACAGTGATTTGTGTAGCATGTGTACTGTTGACAACATTGCTGCAATGCCCAGACACAGTGATTTGTGTAGCATGTGTACTGTTGACAACATTGCTGCAATGCCCAGACACAGTGATTTGTGTAGCATGTGTACTGTTGACAACATTGCTGCAATGCCCAGACACAGTGATTTGTGTAGCATGTGTACAAACAAACTCAAATGAATCATTACAAAAACATCAGTTTTTTATGATTTTGATAAGAAATATTATGAATGTAAGTATTACAGCTGTATCATGTACTGCTTATGTGAATTGTCTGGGATATGCTCATTCCTTTCATTTAAGTTAGAATGGATTAAAGTTCCTTTCCCTGTCCCCTGTCTGTTATGTAACCATGTCGAAAATAATCCTACTTGACATGATTAACAGGTGCTGACATTTCATTTGCAAGCCATAAGGCATGGAAAGCACATGAGAATTTTGTAGTTTATTTGAAAAAACTTAGGTCATGAATAGATGCATATGATGATAGTTGCAACAGGATACAGTAAAACTGTGAACTTTTGAGCTGGTTTTGTTTGGATGTTGTGTACATTTAATTTTGCATTGAAAAGAATAGTGTAACTGACACTGAAGTTAGAATAATATTGATCCTGTTCAAACACTAGATAAAGAACACGCTTAAGTATACATAAATCATCATTGATAAAGTGAATTTTATCAATAGTGTTGGAATTGAAGCACAGAATTGTCCATATCTTTAATCACAGACAGTAGTGCAATATCAGCTAACTGTGGATTCAGCTTTTTGCCCTATGTTTGTACATTATGGAGCATGTACAGTTATTTTGTTGTTGTTTGTTTGTTTTAGAGTTTCTTTGGATTCGGCCAGGGTGCCGAGGTTGACATAGTTCTTGATGGTCAAGACTCACGTAAGACAGCTGAGATCAAAACAGAGGATGGGAAGAAAGAGTGGTATTACTTGTACTTTGACGGAGAAACAGTATCAGGAAAGGTGAGCTTCATCTTTTCACATCTTCAAATGAATACTATGTTGGAGTAGAACTTTGAACAGATTCAGCACATTTTTGCTTTTTGAAAGTAACTAAGACCTTGACATGTTGTTATGTTATAAGTTATTTCTCATCTGAGAGCTTGTTTATGCAAGCAGCTTTTTATGGTATTTCAATCAAGCTAACACTCTCATTTTCTCCTACAAAAATTTAAAATGTTGTATTGCTTGAATAACATTGATAAAATTATCTACTGTAACTAAAAATGTCAATAAAAATCTAAAATGATAGATTATTTAATTGTCAGAAGTTGTCATTTGAAACAGCAAGTTGCATACTCGCAACACAGCATGCAATCTCTTACTCAATACTGTGCATAACCTAGTCCTATATCATGTATATTACTGCATGGGGAGGCACGGGGGGCCCAGTCGTCTAAGGCGCCACAATTCGCTGTGCAGAGTTGCATCCCTTGGGCATGCAGAGACCTATGATCGTGGGTTCAAATCCCGGTTTGACTGATCTACAACATCCAAGTTATTAGACATATTTTTGTCACTTTATTCCTAGCAGAAATCAAAGATGTATATATGTATGTACGTCCGTGGGGAAATCAAAGATGTACATGCATGCAGGTCCGTGCAGAAATTAAAGATGTACATGTATGCACGTCCGTGCGGAAATCAAAGAGGTACATGCATGCATGTCCGTGCGGAAATCAAAGGTACATGTATGCACGTCCGTGCGGAAATCAAAGATGTACATGTATGTACGTCCGTGCAGAAATTAAAGAGGTACATGTATCATGATGTATGTACGTCCGTGCGGAAATTAAAGATATACATGTATGTATGTCCGTGCGGAAATCAAAGATGTACATGTATGTACGTCCGTGCGGAAATAAAAAAGGTACATGTATCATGATGTATGCACGTCCGTGCGGAAATCAAAGATGTACATGCATGCACGTCCGTGCGGAAATCGAAGATGTACATGTATAGAACATTGTGCAGAAATCAAAGAGGGACATGTATGTACGTCCGTGCAGAAATCATGGGGTACATGTATGTACGTCCGTGCAGAAATCAAAGAGGTACATGTATGTACGTCCGTGCAGAAATCATGGGGTACATGTATGTACGTCCGTGCAGAAATCAAAGAGGTACATGTATGTACGTCCGTGCAGAAATCATGGGGTACATGTATGTACGTCCGTGCAGAAATCAAAGATGTACATGTATGTACGTCCGTGCTCAAATCAAAGAGGTACATGTATGTACGTCCGTGCAGAAATCAAAGATGTACCTGTATGTACGTCCGTGCTCAAATCAAAGAGGTACATGTATGTACGTCCGTGCGCAAATCAAAGAGGTACATGTATGTACGTCCGTGCAGAAATCAAAGATGTACATGTATGTACGTCCGTGCTCAAATCAAAGAGGTACATGCATGCACGTCCGTGCGCAAATCAAAGAGGTACATGCATGCACGTCCGTGCGCAAATCAAAGATGTACATGTATGCACGTCCGTGCAGAAATCAAAGATGTACATGCATGCACGTCCGTGCGCAAATCAAAGAGGTACATGTATGTACGTCCGTGCAGAAATCAAAGATGTACATGTATGTACGTCCGTGCGGAAATCAAAGAGGTACATGTATGCACGTCCGTGCAGAAATCAAAGATGTACATGCATGCACGTCCGTGCGGAAATCAAAGATGTACATGTATGTACATATGTGCGGAAATGAAAGAGGTACATGTATGCACGTCTGTGCAGAAATCAAAGATGTACATGCATGCACGTCCGTGCGGAAATCAAAGATGTACATGTATGTACATATGTGCGGAAATCAAAGATGTACATGTATGTACATATGTGCGGAAATCAAAGAGGTACATGTATGCACGTCTGTGCGGAAATCAAAGAGGTACATGCATCCACGTCCGTGCGGAAATCAAAGATGTACATGTATGTACATATGTGCGGAAATCAAAGATGTACATGTATGCACGTCTGTGCAGAAATCAAAGATGTACATGCATGCACGTCCGTGCGGAAATCAAAGATGTACATGTATGTACATATGTGCGGAAATCAAAGAGGTAAATGTATGCTGTCTGTGCAGAAATCAAAGATGTACATGCATGCACGTCCGTGCGGAAATCAAAGATGTACATGTATGTACATATGTGCGGAAATCAAAGAGGTACATGCATGCACGTCCGTGCGGAAATCAAAGATGTACATGTATGTACATATGTGCGGAAATCAAAGAGGTAAATGTATGCTGTCTGTGCAGGAATCAAAGATGTACATGTATGCACGTCCATGCGGAAATCAAAGATGTACATGTATGTACATCCGTGCGCAAATCAAGAGGAAAAAAAGAGCAATCACTTGAATCACGGATATAGTTTCAAAACACAAGCAAATTTCGAATTTTGGAATAGTAACGAAACAAAAAATAAATGGATATTCCTACAGCTCTTTCTCCATAATAGTATACAAATTTCAGATCACAAACAATTGTATTTTAGATGATATTCGCCTTAGACAAGACCACATTGGTGGAAGAGTTTTCACGAACGTGCCCTTGTGCAAGAATGGCCACCATGAGCGAATTACGAATTTTGAACTAATTGTTGCTGATTAAAAAAAAAGAGTTTACCTGGAGCATTGGTTCATTGTACAATGAACATATGATGAACTGTCCCTTCTAACTGATTGAAAATTCACTAATATATTTCCTCTGATATATTACACACTACAGACAGAAATAGGCAGTGAAATTGACGAAGATTCTGTTTCATCTCATTCTGGAATGTAAATAATATATTTTTTGCCAACAAACTGTAACACCATATACATGACATGACTTTGAATATATTAAATTACGATCTAAGTACACATTGTCGAGGACCTAGTAATTTGATAACGGCAGATTGTTGTCTCCTGCATGCCCCGAAATGAACAGGTGATAGTGGTAAAACGTCTCCTAAATGATCTATAATTGTCATCGCGAAATAATTCCTTCTAAAGTTGATAATGAACAGAAATACATCAATATTAATGTAATTTCTTCTACAGTAGACAATGAACAGAAATAATATTAATACTAATGTTATTTATTTTATTATAAATGTTATATTTTTAATATTGACAGTGGAATAATTTATGTTGGAAAATAGGATACCTCAGGATATATTGATATAATCTTGTAACATTCATTGCAACGTTATTCGAGTCACAAGTACCCAAAATCAAATACAGTTTCCACTGTGTGAAGACAAAATATCTCTGAAAATTAGAAAATATCATCACATGCCAATAAAATATCATTGCTTTTGGACCTGGGGAGATTCTTTCATATTATAAATATTTCCAGGATAATCCCCGGCATGGTGAGCACACTTTGGGATGTACAATATATGAATATATTTGTGATGAGAATGATGTTTCAGGATGGGATTCTGTATTTTCCAGGTGAATGTGACACTGAAGAAGTCAGGTAGCAAGCTGGAGCACCAAGGGATTAAGATAGAATTTATTGGTCAGATTGGTGAGTATTGTAGTAACAGTAAACAGGATTAGTAGATCCCAGAATCTCCTACTGGTCATAAGAGCCTTGGACACTTGTTACTTTGCTGATTGCTCATCATCATACAGATGGCGTGGATCGTTCATCATGCTTTCCGTCACTGGTTGGCCTATTGAGACTCGATTGTTTTACAGGTTGACATGTATATGCTAATGACTGCATCTATACAACATTCTTTCATTTACCATGTACGCTTGCACATGAAGTTAGTGGAAACCAAGATGAACATGTACAAACAAAGTTGGAGCATGTTGAAACAGTTGACATGGTGTGATTTTATTGTTTTGTATGATTGTATGTTTTGTGTTATTTATTATTGCTGAATGATAAAATAATACAAGGAAATCACAAATAACATGTCAAACATAATAATATGTATTTTTTAAGTAAAGGTAACTTTTTTCCATCTGAATTCTGTGTGGCAGCAACATCACCAAGCAGCAGTAGTATTATAATTCTCAATTTTTGTCAACAAAATTAATGTATACATTTTTGTGAACAAAATTGACTCTTTATCATGTTTTGTCATAAATTCCGAGGCTGCCCTAGAACAAACGGGAAGCTGATGCTGGCCTTGACTGGAGATTAGGTTAGCTCAGAGTCCATGCTTGATGATGCTATATGTCCATTCCAGAGCTGTACTATGACCGGGGAAACCACCATGAGTTCACATCATTGGTCAAGGAGCTGGCCAGACCGGGCGAGCTCACACACAATTCTAGCTATAACTTCGAATTTCAACAAGTGGAAAAACCATATGAGTCATACACAGGGGCAAATGTTAGGCTAAGGTAGGTGTGGCTGTCTCTTTCTGTGAATAGACATGGCTTCTAGTTCTATATTTCACCAAAGTGGTCAACGTCTGAGGCCTGCATCACATATTGTCTTCTTTCTATTAGTGTAAATACCATGAACTCTTTCACTGCCATTGCTTCAATATAATCTGCTGGATAATTTTGAACCTAAAATATGTTTTCCTCTCTTACACTTTCTTAGTAATAATAACGAAATACATGTTGCTCATCATGCTCATATCATAAATAAACAAATTACTTGGCAACTGTTTGGTAAAGACATAAACAGAAGTGCGTTTGCACATCAGGTCTCGAAACTAGTTTCTAAAGGGAGATAACTATATTTCTAATATCAATGGAAAAACAGGATTTGATGACCAAACAGGCCAATATAATATAATGGAACATTGCGTAAAAACAGTATGACTAAAGAAACGAAAATGAACTGTGTAAGATGCACAGATGAGAGAGTTCGAATGGGCGGTGACAGATGTAGATGGAGGTGATTCAGTTATTTTGTAGTCTGATGTGCATATCCATTAAACTTTCACAGGAGAAGTAGGAAATATGTTCAATGGCACCACTGACAAACTTTGAAAGGCAGTATTGAACAAGAAATTGTTAACAAATCATATATTTTTTATCCCCCCAGCATGTGACGGGGGTAGGGGGGAGATATAGTTAACACCTCATGTACCTTCCAGTTCGTATATATATCAAACAGTTCCTGAAGTGGTGCCTTTTGCTATTTACGGAATTTTGTTCATTTTTATTTTTCTCAATTACCATGGAAAGAACTTGTACCTGGTCTCATGGTGGGGGTGGATTTTGTTTCTGGAGCACAACTCAAAAAACATTCAATATCTTTTAACATTGTTCAACAAAACTTGGCAGATATATCAAACAGATCCTGAAGTGGTGCCTTTTGCTATTTGCCAATTTTTTTACATTTCTTATTCTCGATGCGAATGGAAATAATTGGTACTTAGTCTCAAAAGGTTGGGGTAGGTGTCGTTTCCGGAGCACAACTTGAAAACTGTGAAAGACTTTTCATCCAAATCTGGTACATGTATTAATCAAGGGCTGAAGTGGTCCCTTTTGGTATTTAGGAATATATTTTTCCTGTTTTCCTGAGTCATTATATTCAGACTAACTGGTGAACTCAGAAGTCTATGCTTGTCCAAAACAGATGATTAACAGAAGCAGACACCACTCACCAACTGTCACTTGCCTCATAATACTGTGATGTAGGCAGAGTTGTGTCCCTTAGGCACGCCAGAAACCTATGATTGTGGGTTCGAATCCCTGTTTGCCCTGATTATGTTTCTAGGTTTGTCAGCACCATACCCGTGCTCGTGGGTTTCACCGAAGTGGTAAACGTCTGAGACCTGCATCACTTTGGGCTTTCCTCCCACATTAAGCTGACACGCCATGATATAACTGGAATACTGTTAAAAGCGGCGTTAAACCCAACTCACTCACTACTGTGATGTAGCCTAATGTTGCTCAGATAAAGCCGTTTCAATAATGGAATGTTGCTCAATGATAGGAATACTAAGATATAGCTGGGTTAACAGTATAATACAGTTTGGTTAATGCTAGGATATTGCTGGGATATATCCTCTACACTTTGATGAAATATGTCTACAGATTAATGGTTGATGTAGGCTTGGATAATGATGGAATATTTGGGGATTGATGACAGAATACAGCTAGCTTTGTTAACGGCTGACTTGATGAGCTGTATCTTGAAGACTGATGGTGTGTGCCTTGGCTTCTGACTGACACACACACACCCTCTCTCACTCCATCTCAAAATATGAGCACATTTGTTGCAGGTATTTTTTGCGTGTGACAATTGTGAAGCGGTTAACAGACATTGTGAAGGAGCAGGACATTGTGGTCCACACTCTGTCTCAGTACCCGGACATGAACAACAGCATAAAGATGGAAGTGGGCATTGAAGACTGTCTTCATATAGAGTTTGAATACAACAAGTCCAAGTACGTACCCACCATTATCACCATCACAACATTATAAGCATGGAAAACTTCCAAAAGCAAGAGTTATCGGTGCTTTCCTAAAAAGTTCATTGGAAAGAGTAACATTTTTAAAAATTTAATACAAATTGTCTGCATTTTAAGCATTTTGAAATTAATTAGTCTGAGGACATTTACCATGCTGAATTACAATATTATCAGATACAGTTTAACAATTGCACAAATCTTGATTTTCTTGAAACATTTTCTCTTTTCTTTTTTGATACGGATATTAAATGCCGGCCTGTAATAAAACCAGTTTGGGAATTCCTGATTGTCAATTGACTGTCCTCCTCTTTGTTCATGCTCCATGAAGATATCATCTGAAAGATGTAATTGTGGGGAAAATTTACTTCCTTCTGGTGAGAATTAAAATTCGATACATGGAGCTTGCTATAGTCCGTCGAGAGTCAACAGGCGCAGGTATGATCATGTGACCCAATCGGATGTTGATGTGCTCTGTCATGTGATGCACTAGAAAATAGATGGGATGATATATGCAATCATGTATCAAGGCATGTGTTCATCTTTATGCATTTATTTGGTCCAGGTGTTCACCTTATTGATGTTTATAATTTGTTTTTGTATTGCAAGTTCATTTCTGTTTTCTGTATCTTTTGTGTTACACATTTTAGGGTCCAATATAAACTTCCATAACTTACTTTCAACCATGTCAGTATGTTATATTGAGAACAACATGGGGCTCCCGATTTAAATGATGCCACTCATAAGTTATATTGATGGGTATGTTCTTAGGGGTGGATTGAGGCGGAGCTAAGTATGATAGTAGTAACTTATATATGAGGGAGTTGGGATAGCCCAGTGGTTAGTGTTAGATTGATGATTCTGGGTTTCATTCCTACGTGTACAACATGCAGATCTATGAGATTTATTGTCACCTACTGTCTTGGATGAACTATAACTAGCCTTGAACTATAACCAGCCCTGATGAACTATAACCAGCTTTGATGAACTATAACCAGCTTCGGTGAACTATCAAACAGCCCTGATGAACTCTAACCAGCCCTGATAAACTATAACTAGCCTTGAACTATAACCAGCCATGATGAAGTATGACTGTCTTTGATGAACTATGACCAGCCCTGATGAACTATGACCAGCCCTGATGAACTATAACCAGCCCTGATGAACTATGACCAGCCCTGATGAACTATAACCAGCCCTGATGAACTATGACCAACCCTGATGAACTATAACCAGTCTTGATGAACTATAACCAACCCTGATGAACTATGACCAGCCCTGATGAACTATAACCAGCCTTGATGAACTATGACCAGCCCTGATGAACTATAACTAGCCCTGATGAACTATAACCAGCCCTGATGAACTATGACCAGCCCTGATGAACTATGACCAGCCCTGATGACCTATGACCAGCCCTGATGAACTATGACCAGCCTTGATGAACTATAACCAGCCCTGATGACCTATGACCAGCCCTGATGAACTATGACCAGCCTTGATGAACTATAACCAACCCTGATGAACTATGACCAGCCCTGATGAACTATAACCAGCCTTGATGAACTATGACCAGCCCTGATGAACTATAACCAGCCCTGATGAACTATAACCAGCCCTGATGAACTATGACCAGCCCTGATGACCTATGACCAGCCCTGATGAACTATGACCAGCCTTGATGAACTATAACCAGCCCTGATGAACTATAACCAGCCCTGATGAACTATGACCAGCCCTGATGAACTATAACCAGCCCTGATGAACTATGACCTCCCTGATGAACTATGACCAGCCCTGATGAACTATGACCAGCCCTGATGAACTATGACCAGCCCTGATGAACTATGACCAGCCTTGATGAACTATAACCAGCCCTGATGACCTATGACCAGCCCTGATGAACTATGACCAGCCCTGATGAACTATAACCAACCCTGATGAACTATGACCAGCCCTGATGAACTATAACCAGCCTTGATGAACTATGACCAGCCCTGATGAACTATAACCAGCCCTGATGAACTATGACCAGCCCTGATGAACTATAACCAGCCCTGATGAACTATGACCGCCCTGATGAACTATAACCAGCCCTGATGAACTATGACCAGCCCTGATGAACTATAACCAGCCCTGATGAAGTATAACCAGCCTTGGTGAACTATAAACAGCCCTGATGAACTATAACCTTGATGAACTATAACTAGCATTGAGGACCTATAACCTGCCTTGATGAAGTATTGCTAGCCTCGTTGAACTATGACTAGCCTCACTTTAAAGTGTTATTTAGTCAAGTAAGTGTTTCTGTTGATACTGAAAACCTCTGACAAATACAGCCTAGTGTCAATCGCAGTACCTGTAATTAATATATGAAAAAAACTCAGAAATTATTGTTACTCAATTTTTGGATGGAGGAGTAGAAAAATATAGATAGACTGAAATGGCAAGCAGTGTCCTCCCTATTCCACAAGCTCTTTTAGAATGTTACTAGACCAAGGGATTTAATATGCTAAATGTCTGATGGTTATTAGCTAAGCAAGGAGGACTCAACTGTCTGTAGTTGTTGCTGGGTAGTGCCGGATGAAGGACCCTGAACTGTGTAGCATGGTAGCAGCTTCCCGTCAGTCTGCATGTGTGTGAACGTTGTGCTGTCAGTGTCTGTCTGATTGCAGGTATCATTTAAAAGATGTCATAGTTGGCAAGATTTACTTCCTGCTTGTGCGGATAAAGATCAAACACATGGAGATTCAGATAATAAAACGAGAGACTACAGGCACAGGTACACTGTTTGTCTTACATGTCCAGTACTGCAGACCTGGGTTAGAATAGGTCTCCAACACCTCACGCGAGGCGTGGCTCATTACTTCAGTTGCTGCCATGGTGTGGTTGCAATATTACTGACTGTAGCACAACAATAAGCATCACCTGTAAACATGGTGAAAGCAAAGGCTTTGTGAAGGCTATATGAATATATTACAAGGGTCAGTGGTCAGGGCTCTCTGGCAATCTGAAGCTTTGATACTGGTAGGGACACATGGTTTGTACAAACTGTAGCTGTTTCTCCCTATACAAATATGAAGTATCATTAGCCAGTCAGATGGCCTCTGCGGTCTAGTGGTAGAGTGCCTGCCTGGAGAGCTGAAGGTCCGGGCTTCGATCCCCAGCCTCGTCATACCAAAAGACATTAAAAAATGGTATTTGTTGTTACCCTGCCTGACACTCGGCATTAAGGGGCTAAAGGACTAGACTGGTCGGCTCGGAGTCATGTTAAACTGCGGCATGGTATCTCAGTGGGCTAGCAATATAAAATCGGCATTAGTCCGGTCTATTACAAGCTACCACACACACATGCTTGCACGTCACTATTAGTGCAATAATATTGGAAGCGATGTTAAGCCCAATTTCACCTCACCTCTTTAGTAAGTCATTGAAACAGTTTCCCGTTCAGATGAAGACTCCATCAGTACATAGCTTGCCTAGGATATATCACTATCCCAAAGCAAGTTGAACAGAAAGCATATCACTGCTCTATCCACCACTGGTTTGTCTGTCGAAGATTGATCATGTAACATCCGCGATATGTTTCACTTGCACTTGCACATGCCTTTCTGAAGTCTTTGACTGCCAACTGAAGTGAAGCGTCTTTATACCAGATACATGCTGGCCATTGAAATATTCAGAAAACCTTTTGTTACTAGAATCCAAATATTGTCCCCCTCTTTGTACATTGATCTTAGAGACTTTTGAATACTGATGTTGACCAGATCATTGATTGAATCAGTCTGGCTGAACTTTAGATCACTGGACCAAAGGTCTGTCTGAGCTCATGTCTTGACCTGTTTGTCATTTATTATTGTCATTGTCCATGAAAAATTTCTCTCCTCAAACCATTTGTAATGGACCAAGTATTTGAAAAATAATTTTCTTTTCTGCCAAAATATCATAACATTGCCTAGTAAGCTGAAACTATGTGATTGACAGTTGTTTAAACTGACCTAAGCCATGTAAATTAATTGGTATTGTGTACATACATGAAGTCAACTGCAGAACCTACACCAGCATCTCTATTATGGCTCTTGGTAGGATAATTTGATTATCTAACAGATGGTATAGTTGATATTGCTGTAGTCTTGTCCCAATTAAGACCTAGAGACGTTAGAGACCTGGAAGACCTAAATTAACATGCTTCCAAACTCCAAAGTACGACCTACTGGAATTGTGTTTCTGAACACGATGCTACATATAGAATGATAATACAAGCCTTGTTACACAATTAAGCAGCACTTGGAATGAGTGTTCAATGACCACCTTTAGTTGAAGTGAATGTAATCTTGTGTGGCCTGGTGAGCTACAGTGCTGTGACAGTGTGTTTTGTCAATAGCTTTGTGTGGAATTTTAGGTGTTAAACGTCATTCTGGATAATGTATTGTATATACAGTCATCTATACACCATTTGTCATGTAAATGTTGTCACTTTATAATGTGTAAGATGCTATTGTTTCTGAAACTGAAATGTTGGTCTTAGTCACAGATTATTAATCTAGCAGTATTTCATTATCCTTGTAAACTGCTGTATTTTTACATGCTAACATGAGTGGTTGTAGTTTAGCATGATGAGACAGGAATAGTCATGTATTTCATCATCTGTGTTTCAGGTCCCAACACATTCAATGAGAATGAAACCATAGCAAAATATGAAATTATGGATGGTGCGCCAGTTCGAGGTAAGTTCAGCAGATTACCACTTTAAGTTTGAGTAGGAGTTTTGCTGTACCATCTGCTGTAATCTGTTGTGGAAAGAGTGGACTGAGTGGATCGGATATTCAGGGTCGATGCATGCATGTCAGTGTGTCCCAGTGGCATAGATCATTGCTCAGGCATACAGTCACTGTATTGTCTGACTGATTTACTGACAGCAGTCATATGGCTGTAATACAGTGCTGGCATGTGGTCCTGAGCACAGCGCACAGCTCACAATTCAGAGAGTCCTTGGATGGGTGTTCGGCAGCTTGACTCCTTAGAGTGTCTAGAGCTTTGGTTGTGCACATGTGGTGTCTCCTAAGGCAAGTCACTTTGTTTGTGATATGCCTCTGTTCACCCAGCAGTGAATGGGTACCTGTTAGGATGAGATGGTAATGACTGTTCTTCATGAGTCTCACAGGCAGCTTTGGTTGTATACTCCCCAGGGAGCTAAGAATGAAAGTCGAGTGTATACTGAACCATTGCCAGGGGTAATAATGTAGCGCATTCACTTGGTGAATGGAATTAGGCGCATTATAAATCCATATATCATTATTCATATTGTTACCTGGTGTCCCGTGAGGATTCTGGGTTAGAATAGATCCCCAGCAACCTATGCTGTTCATATGAGGTGACCAAATGGATCGGGTGGTCACACTTGGTGACTTGGTGTGTAATTGCACCCCAACTCAGTGGATTGTTGTTTACAATATCAGCAACTGGATTGACGGGTCCCTACTCGTCTACTTACAGGCTGCCATCTTATTGCTGAAATATCGCTGAGATTAGCGTCAAACAACAAATAATATTTGCTCACTGACACTTGATATATATTCAATAATGTGATGTATATCTCAATAGATACCTGTTCAACTGTTGGTGTTTTAGGGGTGATAATACCTGTTCAACTGTTGGTGTTTCAGGGGAGTCAATACCTATCCGACTGTTCCTCAGTGGGTATGAGCTGACACCAACTATGAGAGACATAAACAAGAAGTTTTCTGTTCGCTACTATCTCAACTTGGTGCTAGTTGATGAGGAAGAGAGACGGTATTTCAAACAACAGGTGTGTTCCTGGCATTTGTCTCTATGTATTGGCTTAACCAGAGGTCAAATAGCAACTATTTAGTTTGGGCAGCTTTCTTATGTGTATCACTATCAGTGTAAGAACTAGAGTCACAAATGGTGTCTTTGAATCACAACCGTGTGGGTCATTGCTCATGATGTCAATCACTGGATTGTCTGGTCCAGACTCGATTATTTACAGACCGCCGTCATATAGCTGGAATATTGATGAGTGAGGCGTTAAACAACAAACAAACAAAACAAATCATGTCAAAAACATGTGCATTGACTTCAAATGTCGTACATTGAGAGAACTGTTCCTAAACATGGTTTAAACCCTTCACCTGAATACACCCCATGACATCACACAGTGACTTTTCTGGCTTTTGCAGCTGAGAGAAGTTGTGCTGGAAAAAACTTTTTCGTTATCTTTTGCCATCGTCTATTTGATGTGAAGTATTTTGTTTTAACATGCCTGGATTGCAGCTTCTATTATGCACCATGTTAGCTAGTCCTGGGGTCAACCCCGATTGATATGGCACAGGTGTTGGATGCTGACTTCACCATACTAGGATTGCAGTCGACTTTATTTTTATCTTCTTTTATTTGGAATTCACCAAGCATTGTCCAACATTCAGAGAAGTCTCATCAACGACCCTGGCTCAGACCAGTTTAGTGATTGCAGGCTATGGAGTGCCAAGTGGACAAAAGTGATTGCCATTGTGTCGACATTCTCCTGAAGGAACATGCTGTATTTCAACCACTGGTGACTCCAGTGTGTTACTCCCCTGTCTTTCTCAACTCCAAGAATGGTTTGTCGAACTTATGCCTCATTCACAACATGGCAACATTCTTCCAGGGGTACCTGGAGCGTCCTCCATGGTTCAAAATGATCAATATTACTATCAATACTCCGGACCACGGGCACCTCAGCAGCTACCTGATCAGTATGTAGATCTTCAGGTTACATATATCCACATGCCGATCCTCCCTAGCGACAGTATGTACTTACATTTCTTTCACAACGGTCGTAACTTTCCAATAGACTGTGCTTTTTTTGGGAGTTTTGATGACCTCATGGTTATTTATGAGAATAACGGAAGCTGATAATGCGTTATCTTCACACACGGCATCAACTTTGATGTGTGTATAGATGATTGCATGCTGCAGCAACAGGAGGATAGTCTCCTGGAACTTTCGGAGTTGGTCCAGCTGGGGTAGATTGTCAACATGTAGAAGTCCGGATCTGTTGGCATGGGCAGTTGACAAACACTAGTTCTCCCCTCGTTCTTCTGCCAGCAGTAATCCAAAAAGTCATGATAACTGTTGTTGTGCCTTTCTTGCTGGCCAGAAGCTGTTCCCTGCGTATCTACCTTGAGTGATTTAAGACTTTGTGTAAGACGAGTAGTGGCTGTTTTTCAGCAGAAATATCCATGCCTTCTGGTTTCAATCCAACATCCAGCAGGCTTATGATGTTGCAAAATGAGCACAACCTCAAGCCAGCAACCCGCCGGAAATCTGGGCGATTGCCTCCACAATGGCTTTTTATGGCAACTGTACTGTCACTGTCATTATTGACTGTGTTTGCCAGCCACTGCCAGAGGGACATAGCCGTTGGAACTAGTGGAGGGCATCCATTGTTGGTCGCATAGCAGATTGCCAACCACAAAACCCTGGAAGCTACTACCTGAGGTTCACCACTTGGAGGAGGACAGGGGGACACAGGGTTATGACATCTACAGTGTGCGTCTATACAATGCATCCATTATGTCTGTCAAGCTCGGAAGTAAGGTCAGTCTACTTATTACCCCGGCAGCCTTGATGCTATTTATTGTAATACGACCCCTGTGACTTACTACACATGAGATGCTTGATGAGAATACCAAGCACTTGTGGCTCCTGGTCCTGGTCCTGGTCCTGGTCCTGGTCCTGGTCCTTCTCCACCAAACTCTCACTCAGCAGACCTAGTTTGAGAACAGTTCTCTCAATGTATGACAATTCCAGTCATGTTTTCAACATGGAATGAGAGAGTACAGCAATATGTAATGCAAGATAAGTATTAAATATAAGATATTGATATTAGATATTAATAGGTTTTTATCTTGGTCATATTCATGATAAAAGGACATGAATTGGCTTAAGACACAGGTGTTTTCATTCTGATAATCTCCCACCAATGGGGCTTCAATATTGCTGAGAGAGACATAGACTCTTACACAGTCGATCTTTTTTCAGGAGATCACAATATTCCGCCGGGCAGACAAGGTGAAGCGGTCGTACCAGGCGTCCATGCATCATCACCAGCCCAACTTACAACGTGAAAACCCCAAGTTGAAACCCAGCCCTGTGGAGGAGAACAGCACGCCGGAGAAGGAGGAAGAAGAGGAAGACGAGGGGGAAGATTCTTAACGATCATATCGCTAAGAGGAAGTTGATATAACGATGTTAATAACGGAGAAGATATCGTGATGACATTTGGAATGAAGGTGGCAGTGTCACAGCATGTAGGACTGCCATAGCTCATCAGAATTATTAGTGTGTACAAGGGTGGATTTGGGTTGGTGGGATAGCTTATATGAAAATGCTAAGGGATATGTGATAGGGGTTCTTGTCAGATTGAAACTCATTCATGTGTTGTACAACTCAGATTTTAGCTATTCTATTTTGATATTACTCGTATTTTGATTCTAGTCAGTAAATCAAATTGGACTTTAGCCCTAGTTACAGTTGGTCAATATGGAAAGTGTTTACATGAAAATTGTATGACCTATACAACTTCAGCTGTAGTACAACACAAAATGGGGAAGAAATATTTAAAATTTAAATTACTTACTCTTGTGGAAGTTACATGTGAAATTTCCTGAATTCAAAGTGAGATGACTAACAACTCCTTTCCTAAATCCACTCTATGTGATGTGTTATACTGTACTCACAAGGGGATGTGCAAGTCAGGGGAGGCAGCTGCTACGAGTGTGTTGGACTCATTCCGGTAGTGAATGTGGCTTGTGTGTGGTAAGTTTGTATGGACAAAATGCAGGCCTGTTCTCAGACAGGCACAACAAAATAGGGTTCAGTGTTGTTTGTGGATAGCAAAATGAGACTAAACACCCTAATTTATTGTGTTTCTTATATTGGTGCATTAATACTCTGAACCATTCACAATGAAGCTGAAAGTTGTAAAACATAATTAATGTAAAACATGCTGAATTAATACTGGCAGAGTTGAGTCCATTTCTCCAATGTTTGGACTCTGCTGAGAATCGTTTATGCATCATATGCATAGAAATCGTGACGCACCAAAACTGTAGCTTCCCATGTACAGAAGTAGTCCTTTTAGTTGTCTGTTCATTGTTATAAGTAAGTTATACCATTGCTCACCTAATGACAAAGTGTACTGTCTCTGTGATCCAAAAATGGCATAGCACTGGTCATATGAGCAGCAAGGGACTGGTCAGCTGAAAGCTTCAAGGGGCAATGGAGAGAATTGGGCGAGAAGATTGTGATGTGACCAATCATTTAGTGTTTCATTACAGCTGTTAAGTTAAGCTCATAATAATATAAGACGAAAGTGATTGTAAATACTGAAGCTGTCATTGGTTGTATTCCTGTGTCAGTTGTGTGCTGTGTTATTCAACTGTGCATTAGGGGTGTGGCCACACAGGGTTGTAACATGGCTTCTGGTGCAATACGCTCATTGCGTTGGACGAATGATGCAAATGTTTGTCGAATGGTCACAACACCTCACATTTTGGTGAGACCCTGCAGAAAACTGTTGACAGTTGCCAGATGTATCCTGACGCCGTCTTGCATTGCATCATGAGTCTTGCATGTGTCTTGATGTTCCCTTGCATAGCCATGTGTATGGCGACTACTGCAAGATGATGCTATGAGGCACCCCTGTTCATCTACACTCCTCATCATGAGAGTGTCAACACTGTTCCATCTCATGTTGTGTGTATATCGTATCGAGACCTCTGTCTGACTGTACAGGTAATGTTATTGCCAAGCATTTGCTCATGTTTGAACAAACTCTTAATTTCATTTTATTGTTTACGTCAATAATTTATGGATGTCATAATTGTGATGAATGAGTGACGAGCACCAACAAAACTGATCAGAATAAGAATTGTCTTGATTGCTGCATTTCTAAACTGCATGTATCCTCTTGGGTTCCAGCTTTGGTTTGTCTGTGACTCTGAGGCTACTTTCCTGGATGTGTTTCTCGTTCTCGGCTTCAGTACACCAAACAAATTGTCGGTGGAGATGTTCGGTTTAATTTGGAACTTACATCCTTGCACATTCCTGCTTGAAAAATAATTTGTTGGAGGGGGAGGGGTGGGGGTGGGGGGGTGGGCTCTTTCTCTGTTAGTAAACCCCATGTATTTTGTTTGTCTATGGAACTGTGATTTGATTTACTCTGCATAAAATGTGAACATCTTTCGCTGATATTGTAAAAATAAATAAAATATGTTTAACATTAAGAGTATCTTGCATAAACATAATAAGGATCATATATTATCAGGCGGCAGTGAATGAAATTACTGTATTGAACTGGAAATAGAGATAAACGATATTGAATGAGCTATGTATATGTAAATAATGTGTACAGGTGGAGATGTGTCTTATCCAGATAGCAACCTTTTAGTGAAACAAAACTTGCAGCGCTGATGCTACTTTAGCATACATGGCCAGTTACAATGACCCATGATTATTCTAGTAAGAAAGGTAAACATAATATCATGTTCACCATATGAAGAGAAAACATCCAACAGGATCAACTACCAAATGTTGTCCATGAAGCCATTCTTGGTGACCACCGTGATATACCTGGAATGTTGCCGATAGCAGTGTAAGACCATATTCATTCACAATATTTCATTCTGTTTATCATCTGTTTTAATATTAAGTTGGATAGCACTTCATTATGAAAATGTGCATGTGACATTCACAATTGATTTTTCTTGTCTAATTAAACTGTCTTATTAAACTGTCAGAGGTAGTAGAAAAGTCTAAATGCCAAACAACTTTCATTCTGGTATATTTCAATTGTCCACCTCACAGTAGTTATGGTATAAAATTAAGTTTAAAGACTCCTAATCCTTTCGACTTTTTCAACAAGCCCAAGTTGTTTGGACTTGTGTGAACACAAGAAGGTTAGACGATGTACAGAAGTAATGTATTGTGACAGCCTGACACACATTAACAGTGTATTGTAGTTAGCAAGATGTTTCCTTTCCGTACCTCTTATACCTCTCTGTGCTTCTCTCGTCCTACACCTGTCCTTTAGCGGAGTAAGGGCTGCACTTCGGTGTTTATATTTGAAAACCAATATTTAAGTGTTGGAAACAGTATGGTTGTATGGCTTGTCTCTAAGTTTTGTTAATATTCTTGTTGTGTACAGATTTGTTATTTTATAGATACCCTGTATGTATACAAATAATCCTCTTTTCTATTGCTTGTGCTTAAATAAGCAAGTACCTCGATAAGCATAGTGTATAATAAATATGATCCATGTAGGACAGAAGTGTTGTAGACAAGAAGTTTTGTGAATTTTATCATTAATTGAGAAGATTGAATAAATGAAATGTTAGTATTTTTGGTTATGATTTCTTGAATGATGATAAAATTCTTCAGCATGTTTCACTTTATCAGAATCAAGCACTTTGTAGTTATGGCTGCTGTATGGTAACTTCCTGAGTTACCTCCCTTGTGCAAATGCATCCAAAAAGAAATAGTTGCTACTCAGAACTATGAATGGTATCACTTTCCAGTTTTTTAACATCCTACGTTAGATGAGTGTAGATTTTGTTTGATAATCTCTTCTGAATAACACAGATATCCATGTCATATGTCTGTTCAAAACTAAATCAGTTTGGGAGGTGTCTTCAACAAGGGAGATAACTCAAAGGTTAACAGGATGTCAAATACCATGCTGCATGAAATATGCTGTTCAGTACCACTTGTAAATTTCACACCAACTTGATCATGTACTCATTTTGATGTTTGTCATTTGTCATCTATGACAAAATAAATGATAACAGAATCTGGATTGTCTTTGTTGTGATTATTGCACCACTGATTGACTTGACCTTCCAGTCACTATGGCACATTGACTACAATTCCTGGTCAGTACTTCTACTTGTACTGTTAGCCATAACCCATTGTTTGTGTCCCTTGTGTGAAGTCCACAACTTTATTGCTAAGAGCAGCTTACAACAATATGCACTCTTCCATGAAATCATCACACATGCTTCTTTCCAGACTGTTTTGAGAAACCCAAAGATATCATGCATCATCCCTGCTACGTTAAAATATATTTTCTCTTTCCTTTGAAAATCAATCAGAATTTCTGGATAAATACACTGAACCGCAAAAGAAACATCACCCTAAATTACATGAAAACTTGTCATTTAAATATTTGGGTAATTTTTGTCAAAGCTTCTCAAATTTAACATTACCTTGTCTGGAAAAATGAAATTTAATGATGTGAACACAGAGCAGATGACATTAAAACTGATCGCCCAAACGCATCACGGCAACGGCCATGGTAACCCAATGCATGAGAATTCCGTGCAAAACTGCTTGACAGACCATGGGGACACACCAGCGAAACATTAGTGCGGACACTGTGCATCGACGATTGATGAGCAAACACCTCCAATGTCACAGGCAACACAGAATTGGAATTGGTCTTGCACACAGGGTCGACCCTGTGGTCTTCCAGAACATCAGTCCAGGGAGAGGCAATGGTGTCACAGCTGCTCGGTACATTGATCCAAGTCTTCAGACCACACGCCATACCTAATTTGGCACATCGCCACAACAACGAGTTTCAGCATGATACATCTTTCCGAGGCAAATCTCTTCTATGCCTCTCCTATGGACCAATCAGATTCCACCTCTCGTATCACTTGCATTTGCTTCAAACAAAATGGCAGCGCCCAGTCAAAACGTTCTGGTGGACAACCAAGATCTATATTGTGAGAAATTGTGTTGGTTATACATGCTTCTGGGCTGTACGGCAGCCGAGTGGTCAAAAGTGTTCATACTTCTTACTGGGGAACCAGATTCGATATCCCTTGTGTGAAGTCCACAACTTTATTGCTAAGAGCAGCTTACAACAATATGCACTCTTCCATGAAATCATCACACATGCTTCTTTCCAGACTGTTTTGAGAAACCCAAAGGGTCTTACATCGCGAACTGCATCAAATAACGTGAGCACCTTGATTAAAAACTTGAAAAGATTTGGAAAATATCTGTTGACAATGAGTTGGTGGTGCACATGCTGTGCAAATCCTGCAATCGACCGAAATCTACATGACAGTTTAGCGACCGGATTTCGATTTCGGTGTGCGATTTTGATTGGACTATGCATAGGCTCGTTAGTCCAGCCAAAATCTAACTCCATAATACCAGCCTAGTTCGGCAAGGGAGGAAACTGGACTTTTATAGTCTGTTAACTCTCTTGCCACAGGAAGATGAGCCTGATAACGCCCGTGCCCCCACACGGAGATTTCCTCCAGCAGAATGGCATCAGAACCATGCAGTGGACTGCCCCCAGAGCCGATTTAAATCCCATTGAGCACCTGTGGGATGAAATTCAAAGACAGCTGAATGACGTCTGACCAAGGCCGACAACTGCAGCTGAACTGAGCCAGGCGTTCCTCAGAGTGTGGGCTCAAATGCCTAAGGCCTTCATCAACCACCTCATCTATTCCATGTAACAATGTTGCACAGCAATCATCACTGCACTTGGCGGACACACGAGATACTAACTTATAATGCCATTTTCTCAGAGACTAGTGTTGTGTTTCACTTTAAGAACATTTGTCACTTTAATTTCAACCTTGATGATCAGTTTTGCCAAGTTTCATCTTTTTAATATGTCTCACAGGATGTTTACAGTGTTCGGACAAATAAGGTTTCTCATATATCTATCCATGATGACGTTTCTTTTGTGGTTCAGTATATATTGGCACATTTTTTAGAACAATAACGACAAAACACTTGAGTTTCCTTTCCCAGAGAGGTTTATTGGTTCCTCAGTTTCAGCAAGATTAAAAGCCCCAGCCCACTTTGTTCTGAAGATGCAAACATGGATCATATGCACGACAACATGGGCAGAACATGATGTGCCTTACACATCTAGGTAATGGACATAAGCATAAGTAAATAACATTTCACTTGAGATCAAAGATTCCTACTTTCATCACTGGGAATGTAATGATAAGGTGACAGCATAAGGTTGAAGAATAAATTTCACGAACAGTGTTTAATCAAACATACATATGTGGTACAAATGGATCAGTTAATGAAGTTGGGAGTAACAGTACTGTCTACCCTGAATCAGCTGTGTATGACAAAGTGCATCACACTCTTCACCATTACACCCCCAGTGTACAGTGGTACAGCCCTGGTTTATAGTGCATAGTTCTTAGGTACTGCTATCAGAATCAATCACAATGTCATACATCAGATATATTAGAATACAATATACGGAAGGCCATTTCAACTAGATTTTCACCCTCATTGTAACGTAACAAAAGTCAATATTTGCTGAACTCATCCGATGATTTGGGGTCGTGTTCCAGAAGGACACCCAGGGGGCAAGAGTTCACCTATATTTTCCCTTTTTTAGAATATTGGTTGGGAGGCTTTCCACTTGGGAAGTGTATCAGGTGCATATTACTAAACGTAACCAGCATTGGAATTATGTCCATGTATTTGAAGAGAATTAGTGAGACAATATGATGCCATCTCTGCTCAGTCATCTTGTTCACCATGATAGTTCATGTATTCTCCATTGAACCTTAACACATACCCATCAATATAAATACTTCAAAGAAACAATCATTCCACCTTCCCACTCATACTTATAAATAATGAAATCTCATTTCATAAATCAGTATTTCACTCTGATCTTCCTAAGAAAACATGACACACACATAGCCAACGATTGGCTTCATCAGGTCATCAAGTCAATTACAACCTCTCTTTCACTGTTACAGTGATTACCTGCTTTTCATGGGGTGGGGGTGGGAGAAGAAAGAAAGAAATTCTAAAAGGTCCCTTGACTTTCAATGTAGCATTTTGTCATATGTCAGTAGATGTATATAACTGATTTTGTTTTAAATTGTTACCCATGGGTAAAATTCTGTTTTTAGTTGCAGCAAACTTAAAATGCTTTCATTCAAGGTTCTGTCGTTGAAATGCCAGAGTCTGAGAATGAAGGAAAGTTTCTTTCAGCTTTAAGATTATATGCAAGTACTTATTACATACTACCCATTTCTCATTACAGATCCAAGCTCAAATACATTTTAAGACAGTTCACAAAACGACTCTTCACCCTTCAATACTTAAGTACTGTAAATTTACTTTCTACTTGGAAATACTATAAATTCTAATATTCAAAATAAAGAATCTTTCAATCACAGGGATATATGAATAACTTTCATATTGCAATGTAAATCAGTGCTCAAGCGATGTCCTGTGAAAAGTGATGAAGGTGGTTGTAGTGTCAAAACTTGTGCTACCAGGGTAGAAGATAATATACACGATCGTACATTGTATATGTACTATTTTTTGTCTTGAAGAAATATTTTCTTCTTTAGGGCAGTGCCTAAAAACCATCTTCATGAGCCTCAAATCTGATCAATGAAGTATAGCAAGTGAGGTAATCGATAAATATTGTATCACAATTTGATGAGGTTTTCATGGCAGAACTGCTAGTTTCTCTTGAGAGTACACTTCATAGCTATTTCCTGTTCTTAATGTGGAAGAAATGCGCCTCCTCAGAAAAGTAGAAACACTGTATAAACACCAAAAGAGTTCATATAAAACTGAACAAACTGTTTGTCAACAAACAGCATCTCAGAAATTTTGGAATGCTTGACTTAAGAATTCCTGATGTACTTATAAACCTAAACAGCAACAGAAATCTATCTCTACTTCACATATAAGATTTTGAGCACAGTCAATAAAATCCACAGAGACATGTTTCACAGATTGAAGACTTCACTATATTTGTACCGCGGTACTTGAAACTGGCTATAAATGGGTATGACAGATTGATATACCTCCTTAAAACTTTGGTTTTAGCATAAAAGGACAATTTATCCATGTCTGGAAACAAAAACACAATGACTCCCATCACCATTGCACTGCTGGGGCCATACAGGGATTTATCGAGGGATTATGTCTTTATGCTGGTAGCTGGATAATTGAGAAATAAAGGTTTCCTATTCTATCAGTTGGAATATTTGTACATATTCATAAATAAACATGTATACTGAATTAATAAGCAAAATGTGATACCCAAATACAAGCCAACATATGGAACCAAGATATGAAAAGGAGCTAAGAATGAGCTTTGAAGTCTCTTTTAAACCATACGGTTGATTATTCAAAGGCTTATTTCCAACCTGTGATGTCTGAGAATAGCCCTGCTACAGTCCCTGACATAGGACTTGGTGATGAGACACTGAAGGTTGAGATTATATGTTTATGAATGATGATAGCCTGGCTGAAAGCAAATGGACGCTATTAGTCCCACCTGGCGTGGCAAAATATCTCTATGATTTTTTAAAAGTCATATATCCATAGATGAAAAAACACTTTGAAAGCAATCCAGGACTCACAGCTTAGCGGTGGTAATCACCACATAAAGGCGGAAACCGCAGTCAAATCCAAGGGACCAGATTTTGTGGTAGGTGAAACTAGAAAGTGGAATAGTTTTACAAGCAATAGTCACATAGTGAAGTATGACCTCTCCAAATGCTGGTAGCCTGATGCTCTACACATTGGGATGTAGAACAGTAATAATGTAGGTCACCAGAGGTCCAACGGTCCACCCTTTAACCCATGCTTAAATCTTACCACCTGTCAGGAAATACAATGCAGATACCACACCAATGATACTTTCTCAACCCAAGTGAGTTACAATAGAAGCCAAGAAGTACCCAAGTCCACTAAAAGTCTGACAAAGTGTCCACCATTATGCTGTGATACTACCACTCTGCTGTGAGTCCTGGATTACTTTCTTTCAAAGTATTTTTTTCATGTATGGATATATAATTAAATTTTCGTTGTGATCATTGTAATTCCTGCATTCTGATTAGCTGAATTGGTCACGTGTTATTGCATTCATTTCTCATTGCATGTGAAAAATTAAGCCACCCCCACTGAGGCACTCTACTTTTATTACTGCGGAATGTCGGGGGAATCCCAATATTACAGTCGAGGGAATAACCTTTCTCCTCAAGTGTATTGTCATGCACAGGACATTTAGCGACTTTCATGCATATTCATTGTCCAAACAACCCTTTGAAACCGAAGGCCGAGAATGAATGAAACAGCAAATGTGCAGGCCCGCTCGCCTGTTTTTGTCCTGCTCGCCTCGGTTCAACTATCTTGTCTTCGGGTTTCATTTCTAACTAGCATTTTTCCAACTGTGTTTTCACGTTTTCAGGGAAGTTATGTTTGAATCTGGCGGTAACTGACCATGTCATTTGAAACAGCCGCCTTCTCCCCGACATATTTCTTCCGGTTGGTTACAGTCTGACTGTTGCAGTTCTTTTCGCCTCTTGCCTTCATTGACAGGTCCTATGAACATTGTTTTGATCCTGCTCTCTGTTGATTGGCTACTGACTGTGTAGGTGTGTCAAGTTATGTGCATGAATTGAACGATCACCTGATTCATGTCACGCCACAGTATGTTTTCCTACACCTGGAATGTTTTTCAATCTCATCATTTTTGTCTGCTTTGATACATACTACTGGTGTTTTTTGTTAAACTATTGTAGATAAAACATGTTTTATGTTGTCAAATTAAATTATTTGCATCGACTGTGTATTTTTTTCGGTTCATTGAGGTATTCGGATTCATACGGTTTGCACATCGGTTTTTCGATTTATACCTCATTGAACTGAAAAAAATACACAGTCAATACTTAGATGACTTTCAAAATATCATAGAGAGATTTTCCACCCCAGGTGGTACAGCTTCATAATATTTTGGGTTCTGGTTCATGGACTATATGATACTAGGCACATGTACCAGTAACAGTATATAACATAGGAGCCCTGTGTATCAACAAAGACAAATATTTACTGTTCGCAATGTTACACTGGATAGACAGTGTATTATCCTGGTGTAAATCTAAGTTAGTTCAAGAGTGCATAAATGATCACAATTTGGAAATAGAACAACCTATTGTAAGAATTTGAAGCACGGCCGGTATGAGAGCATACTGACTTCCAACTTGTCAACCATGCAAAACATAGAACATCTTCCATACCCTCCTGGTAATGTTATACCTTACTGGGGCTTGTGTGGGGTCAAATTCTGCCTATATCCGGCATAGATACATGCATATCTCAGTATTTATGCTGCAAGCATAGTTACAATTTCCCAAATAACATGATATAGGCAGGCAGTAACATTTTTGGAGCATATAATAGGTGTGAAATTGATGATAAAATGATTGTCATGATTTTTATAAATAACACATCAAAGAAAAGAATAAGTTAAAAATGAAAATCTTACAATTATTGCAGACACCATGTCCGGTTTCAGGCATGTTTGATAAGCTCTTACTGACAGAAGAGTTTGAGATTTGTCTACTAAGAAAGAAGTCAAGGTACAACGAAGGTCAATATTCTTAATCCATGAATATCATAATACCCCAACTTGTCAATAATCATACATGAACTCAAAATGTAGCAATGTACAAGTTTGTTTCATTTTCAAAATATAACATCATTTTATTAACACGGTCCAAATGACTTCAATATACATAAAAACTGTTTCACTACACAAAATTGTCTGCACGGAACAAATAATATAAGAAGAAATTCCATGAAATCACATCCCACCTGCTCACAAACAGAGCATCAACATGTAGCAACACAACTAACATATTGACACTGAGTAACAACCACTGGGTAAAGTTTCAGCAGTATGTAATATCAAATCAATACTTAATAACAATATACAGATACATTCATCCAGTTCCTTTCAGATATCGACTCAAGTGTTTTCAGACACAAGCAAGTGAGAACAGAAAACCTGACATTCCTAACTTGGGACGTAAAATTGTATGTCCAAATAAAGATTATAAATATAATGCAAAAATATTGTACATTACTGTTCATTATAATTCATAGTGTGGGCAGTAAACAAAACACGTATCTAAAAATGAAGCTCATTTTGAAACCACATTTTCAATTTCTTTAGATGTCCAATGTTTGATGTAGTAACGCCTGAGTTGACATCTGTTCTGGTTCTGTTGTGATTTGGTCTTTAATACTGTTAACACTTACACTGTAACAATGGCTATACTGCATAACATGTATAAAATAAATATTGTTATGATTTCATTCAACTAAAATAATGGGCAACAACAATTGTTAAAAAAGGAAAGAAGAAAATCCTGTAAGAAACAATAACAAAAGTTAATTTTACAGTGTTGCTAACTATGATAATAATTTAGAAATATGATTTATAAAACATGACTTGCATAGAGATTTCAAAGTAAAATGGCCACACCCATCTGCTTGCAAGGTCCATATTGTCACTGTAATACTATGTCATATAAAGTGTCTAGGCCCACAGGGCTGAAACAATGAAACAAAGTGATCATGATTTTCCAAAATCAGATATATGGGTGTTGTCAGATTAACCTGACATCAAATATACCCAACTAAGAATGAGGAAAGTGAGCTTTTAGTTTCCCTTGTTATCTACTGACAAAATTAATGGAACCCAACAGTATTACTGAAAAATGTTTATATACTGAGTTAAATACATATCAACAAGATATGTCACAGTGTGAAATATTCGCAGTTGGTTTTTCAGTCCATTGCAAAACTTGACAAGTGGTATGAAGTGGTGCAACTTGCTATGCAGAGTTGTTTCCCTTAGCTGTGTGGTAATGTGACAGACATACTGTTCAAAGCCTTGTTAAACCAAATTCTCTCACACACTTAACATGTAGAACAACTAAATCTTTTAGACACAAAAATGTCATGCCAAACATTCCTTCCACAGCCTTCTGTTATGTATTTACACCACTGTAGATCTGACAAATTCCTCCAGAAAAAGATCTACTTCATATTTATTGCATCAAGAGCAAGCTATGAGTACTGACACTGTATCCTAATGTTGTATGTGTACCCATAGTTAAAGCCCTATGGACCACAACAGGTAATGAGGAAAATATTTTGTCTCTCTAAAAATATATGACACCATGAAAACCTGTTTCATCCATGCTGTGACCTAGTGATAAAAGTTAAAGCATGTACAACTACACTGACAAATGAGGGCCATGATTCAAGGTCAGGAGTCTTTGTATCACCTTACACTTGCCCTCAGGGAAAACACTGTAGTAAAGCTCTGATGTCACTCTTTGGGGTAGGCTATGTTGAGACATGTGTTGTAGAAAATAAATGTATGTATACACTATACAGCCTAGATCCGGGTTACAATTGCTACATTATGTACAATGGCAATCATCTCAAAGTAATCTTTAACACAATATACACATACATGTACAGTAAAACATGGTCACAACAAACTCCAACGTACTGTTGAAATCTGTTAGTTATTGAGAAAACCTTGTCCCATATTGGATCCCTCAGTATTCCTATACATATCATTCACCATCATGAGTGCAAAAAAACCTAGTTTGAACATTCACATATACACCATGTGGTTTTTAAAAGAACCTTAAATAACCTTTCAAGTTCAATATGTTCTAGACTTGGTGAATGTGTTTAGTAATCTACAAGTGTAAATTAGGGATTGCATGTAACTGGTGTGTTTCATCTCCGATGTTGGATGACACTGATTTAGTTGGATGAGTTCATTACAAGTTCATAACAAAATATTGATATGTTAGGTCAGTCTGTAATAACTGTTAATTTGTTACTTGTGTGAATTTCATATGATATATATATCATATATATGTATATGTACAGTAACGCAGTGGGGACTTTTGAAATAGTAAGCTGTACCCATTAGTGTGCTATATCTGTTCCCAATAACCATGATCTACTGTACAACCATCACTGAACCACTTCTGTATTATCACAAATGGTATCAATAATACCATTCAACACTTGAACGGGCAATAAGTCAACAATAGGTTTACTTTTGTACACACATTATATTTTCATAATGTAATTTTTGGCAAGTCTTTTGCGTGTCAATATGAACTATGCAGCATTTGAAGTGTGGTGGTAACAACATGGCAATGATATAGAGATATATGACAATAAAATCTATAAATAAGTTCCTCTTGAGTATATGGTGTACAACAAAGCCAAGCAACGATGTGGATGATGATGACAGTGAATCGAGCTGCCACGATGTACACGCGTACGGATGGGAGTGAAGCCCAAACTGCCAAGCATGAGATGATGGTGATAATTTGTTCCCCTTGTGTTGTGCTTTCTACCTGGCTGGTGGTAGGTAAGGCAGCTGTTGGCAAACATGATGGATTTACCATGGCAACAGGTCATAATACCTGTTACCGTGGCAACTGGCCATATCACAACAAACAGAGTACTTATTGCCAGGCAACTATTAAATATTTCATAATGGCACATAGGATTATGTCATCAAGGTATTGATGTCATACATAGGATATGTTGTCAAGGCATAGGATGACATCATACATAGGTAATGAAAGCTGTTGTTAGGACAACCACATAGGCATTCAGCTGGTGGTAAGGTTGGTCCTAGATGTCGCCAGCATTATTTTGCAGATCCCTGTTGCAGCAGAGGTTTGCCATTTTCTGGTGTTACTTCCAGGGTAACTGGAGACACTAATGCCTGGCCAGATACATGCTCCTCCAAACCCTGAAAATGACAATAACATGAGAGTGAGTTAGTATTGCGTTACGCTGCATCAACAATATTCCAGCTGTATGCAGTGCAGCATGATGGTAAGGTGAAATGGGTTTTAATGTCATGTTTAAGATTATTTCACTCATATGTGATAAAGCAACATGCATGCATTTGAGCGTGTGTGAAGGTTATATTAGTCCAGAAAATGTATGCTGGTTATAAAGTGATAGTCAACTGAGACACCATGCAGCAGCTTAACATGGATATCCCACTCACACACAATATACAGACTCTGAGCTGATCAATCCTTGTTTTAGCCCCTCAGAGTAACAACAGGTACCATCTTTTATGTCTTATGTAACGATGCAGCCAGGAAATCGAACCACTTACACTTCTGATCTCTGGTAAACACTCCATACACTACACTGACATGCATGGGGTACAGGGGACATATTCACCTAGGTAGAGGCACTGTGGACATATTCACCTAGGTAGAAGTACTGTGGACATATTCTATCAAATTAAAGTCAGTTCATACAAGCAGGATGGGATTACTTAGCACCTATTATACATACCCCTATATGTACATTTGTGACCTAACAAATCTGGGTAGAATTCTGATGACATGAACTCACCTCTCCAGCAAAAGACACTAATGGTGAGATTTCACAGATGACTGATTGGTCACTGAAAACACAAACACACATATAAATAAAATTCATTCGTAAAATCACAACAAATTTACACCATTTCATGAAGAAAATGATCATTACTACGGAATACTACTGAATTCAATGCAGGTCTTGAATGCATAGCACTAGTGATAAGAGGATATTTGAAAATTTGTATCAAATTGTAACTGTCTAACTATTAAATATATCTAATGGAAGATAAAAAATTAACAAAAACTATTGTACATAACTGCTTTTATTATATATACACAATGTTGACAATGTCTTACTTTTCATTTCCATTTTGTATGTCACTGAAAATGGAAAGAAACAAAAGTTAATTTCAAATATACAGAAACTATTAGATCAACAGCATAACATATATATGAAAGAAGAGGTTTGTATTCTTTTAACAAAGTTTCACATTGATCTTATATAAAACATTGAGAAAGATGGTGACTGAGACAATTAATACAGATTATAAGTCAAGTTTGTTTTAATATTGTAAACTTACATAAATTTGGATATTCATGATATCAGTATGCTTATCCTGACACAACATAATGCAATTTCATTCTTTTCTTTGAACATATAACACATAACCCAAAACATGGTCTTCTACATCCAGGGTGCCTGTTGCCCTTGGTTACCAATCAGAGTTATCTGTTCTTGATACTTCACTGACTTCTCATCACCTTGATATCCAGACTGGGAACAAATGAGTGGGCCTGAGACTTTTTGTGTCAGAACAAGAATACTAATATCATGAATATCCAAATTCATGTATATTATTTGTTATCCTGACACAACATATTGCAATGCTAATGCCACAATTTGAGGCGGGGTCTGCAGCTTGCAGTATTGGTAGTCGGTGCCGGATTACGTCTGGATTAGCCCTCTACACTAATCCTGTATCATCTGTCACATCCTTACATTCTAACATGCAAAGGTATGCTTTATGGTTGAGTACCTGTGCGGCTTACGTTACTGGACACCTGGAGGATAAGAATTTCAAGTTGTAGTGAATAGCAACAACAGCCCAACAATCCCTCAAACTATTTAATGTAACACCATGTGTCACAAAGCAAATATCTGGCAAACACACGTAGCATGTAATGATGATCTGAATGCTTGAATGTAAAAGCATTGACGAGTGTTGTTGAGACACCCCCATACTCTCACAAAGACAGGCAGTAAGAGAAAGAGTGCATGATGCAGAACAGTTAACAGCTTCCTGTGAAATATGAGTAGTCCAGACTGGTACATCCTCCTCAGAGACATTCCTTGGATAATGGTTGGTGAATCATGTATTGGTGACATCTCCCACTGAACAGGTGATGGTGGATTGTGGATGCCAGGGCAGTGATTCCGTGTGGAATATGTGCCTGTGGAGGAGCCCATTCTGCACGATGGCAGGGGTTAAAAAATACCATTACCCGACGCCCGTGCCAAGTAAGGTTTTGATCTCGGGCGAGTACAGCAGAAATATACAGTTTCTAGCATTCCCCTGGACAAGTAGAGCACACAAAATGAACTGGGCCAAGTTTCACAAAAATGTAATCATGTGATCATGTTACAATATTTCATTGGCGAATATTTTGCGAGTGTCCCAGACTGGCAATTTAGTGTGCATACAGTTACACCAGTCAACCAGTAGAATGATATAACACTTCGATGTCAGGCAGGTCAACAATGAGAACCAGGCTTGTTTCATTGATAAATCGTAGTAATACTTCCATGTATGGCACATGCTTCTTGGAAATTGAATGACGGACAGTTGACTACATTTCTTAGAATTTGTAATGCGAGGCAGGTCTCATGCCGACTTAAGAAGCTTCGTTTGGTGAGCTTTGATGAAGTATTTTATTTGATACAAGTCACCGTCGAACTCACGCGCTCTCGATCGCAAAAAAACTTTGTTGACAAAAAAGTCAAACTACACCAAATATGACTTTTAACAAGTATGGCATTTATGATATATGTATCTATTCCCTGTCAACTAAAGTTCAATTCAAGGCATCAACAGCGATAATCTGACCATAGTTGCTGTAAATCTACCGATTCCTTTAAACACAAAATATTGCCAAAATTAATCTAAACAATGTTGAATGAAATTTTGAAAAAAATAATAAAATATGCTACAAACAAATGTCCAGATTTACAAGAACATATTTTCATAACCGAATAGTGTAATAATAGGACTAGATTGCCGACTTCATTTCGGATATGTTCATTTGTATTTCCGATGTTGCGTGCTCACAGTGATCAGCTGGAAATGATATTTGCAATGGGGAAAAGCCATCGTGTCAGTGTAAAACTGGGGTTTACTAAAAATGTACATAAATTTTGGGACCCATGCATTACTGCGCTATAACAGAGTTCACGCTATATTGAAGGGTGCAATAGCGAGGCATCACTAATCCCTCACTACAAAGCTACCTTTGGGGTCCAAATAATTGATAAGCGCTAAAGACGATCAGCGGTTGTGGGGGGTAGATGCAACACCACACGATCTACGATGCACGTTTCATAGTTTGAAACAAGATTAGAATAGTAGATGTTTATGATTCATAGTGTAAAAAATATAGCGGATAGTTTGAAAAAAACATATCGTATTCCTTCAGTGTATTCAGGTGAACGAACAGGTATAACAAACTTGGCTGATATAAATATGAAATTTGACATAAATCATCACTAGACATGATGCTTTACCATTTAAATTGTATTTCTTTCTCTCCAAGGCATTGTTTTATATGCAGAGATTAAGATTATCGTATGCATTTTTTCGTAAACTAAGCCGGAATAGCAATCAGCTGTACACACATTTTCTCCAATGTATGGGTGGTTCAGTTAAAAAGTACCCAATGATACAGCTTCATGGAATTGTCAGAAGAAATTGTATCTGAAATTATTATTATAGATGAATGAAGTCAGCATAAGTTGCTTCAGGCCCAGTCTCCCAAGTGGTTCCTCAGGTATGAGCTGATCCAGCAGTCTCTAAGTGCCTAAATCAAAATCAAAAGATTTTGACAAGATAATCTCCTTATTACCGACACGGGGAACAAAATACAAAAATGCATAATGTGAATTGAACAATCTCCACAGAATATAATCCAAGGGAGATAATGGCGAAGCTTGTTCATCAAGAACATATAATAACGCTAAAGGGTATAATTTCCAAGACGCAAGCAATGAGAAAGTGAGGCATCAAGGACAGATAACTCTGGGAACCAAAGGCAACGGGGACCCTGGATGCAGAGGCATGTTTTGGGTTCTGTGTTACATGATCGAAGTGAGGAAGGAAACTGCTATAAAGAATATTATATATTAAGAATAAAAATTGTATTATGTGAGGCTTTGGTGATTAAAGATACAAGCATACATTCATTCACTGAAGTAACTTCTGAAACTATGTAGGAATGCAATGTCTGAATGAACCACTCCATTTAGTTTATAGTGCCAAATGATTTGCAGGCATATTTGTGTACATAAACACCCACACATTGGGAAACCTCTATCTAAATGTTTCAGGGATGTCAGGCAACAGTTTGACGTATTGAGTAGTAGCAGTTCTCATTTTCATATTTATCAGGATGTGATACAAAATTTATTGGCTTGGTTTATCGCATCCAGAACATTATCCATAATATGATAAATAGCAATGTTAGTGTGAACTAATGATTTTCTTTCCAGCTGTACAAGATGCAATGTCAGACAAAGGAACATTAGTCTATTTTCCCAGGACTAAATCTGCACTTTCTTATGATTCAGTTAACAGGATCCAAATACTTGTTTGCAAATTTTAAAACATTAAATTAAAAACAGAAAAAGCAATGATGGATAATGCTCCTACCTTGGCTGGGTAGTAATGGCAGATCCCTCCCCGTCCACGAACTTGCCTCCTGCCTTGACAACATACCGATGATGAAGGTTGAACAGCGCTTGGCGACAAGTGCTGGGAGTGTCCTTCACCTTTATCTCAGCATCATTACTGTCAGCATTCTTCAGGGGAGAGAACTCATCCTCTCTCAGCACATCCCACACAGCAAAGTTTCTGTCACATTTACACCACACAACGGACAAAACCAGCACATGTGATAACACATGGTGGGAGGGGAAGAAGACAAGCCATGTCACCAGCGACCCATTGAGCATTTGCAGGGTATGAGGAAGCATAAGAGCGAGGAAGCAGAGCACACAGACACCAACCAAAAAGAAAAGGGAAACCCTCGTTAGTTGCACGGCATTATACAGTAAAAGTAGAGCAACTACTCTGCAGTACACTGGCGAGAGAATTAACACCAAGAGAAGGGAATATTGCAGCTGTACTAGACTCAAAGAGCTAGCTATGATCTTTCACTAAAGTTAATGTTACGATGAACTGAATGATTCTGATTAATCATGGTGATTATGGCGCAAGATCAGATTAATTTTCTTTGACCTTTGTCTTTTTCTGCAAAACATTTTGTTGAATTTCTTAATATAATTTATGACCATGAAGTTTAATCATGTCATGACATCACAGTTATGTGTCTACACAGATTTCACATTCCCCCAGCACGATGTCCCAAAATGTTAAGGCCTTATACTTAGAAAGTTTTATGACATATGTAGGGATTCTATGTTACCTCTTATATTGGATCATGATACAAATGTTATATTTGGGATATGACTTTCTTAGCAAAGTACAAATTCTAGTACTTTTTTGGTTTGAGTCACATCTAGGATTCAAACCCACACTCGCAGAATGAGGTGCACAAAGTGAGCAATCTAACCCACTCAGCCACCAAGGCTTCCCCAAAAATGAAAGTCTAGAAAATGGTAGTCTAGATCACATACTTTGTGCCAATTTACACCTGTCAGAGGGGTACACAAAGTATGTGATCTAGACTTGCGATGAGGTGCCTCCCCCTGAGAGTGTGGGCTCGAAAAAAAAGTCCTAGAATTTGTACTTTACTACTATAACAGAAAGTGTTATCCCAATTTAATATAACATTTTTTACATTTGACCACTTTTTAAAGGGCTTTGTGTATTCTTATCTGATCTGTCAACATTTTTGCCTACAGCCCTCCTGCTAATGCCCAATATATCTTTCTACACAGCGGGGGGAAAATATGACAAATACTGGGATCTAATTTCTCACAACCATATCGTACAAATCTGATCTTGCATTGTTGATGAATCTGATGTCGAAATGAAACTCACATCCCCAAATCCTCAAATAAACAAGGACGTATGTCTCTCGGTGATGATAATGCAGAGAAGTTAATCTTTTATTTCATGTCATGTTCATAATCATCATGTCATGTTTTTGGCACATTATAGTGATCATACATAAATAAATATTACATGCAAAAATTCATTTGTGGTCATTATTTCCAGGTAGGGAAACACATCTAGCAAAACATTAACTAAGAGGCACACTAGGCATCTCTCCTTATCAATCATATCATGATGCCAGCTGTTGTGTGACTGAAATCACAGACACATGTACCCACACAAAGGATCCTATCAAATTGTACTCTTACATCAGTATGCACACTGTGACAAGGGTGTGTACCCTGCACAGTACTATATATGTAGCTTAGTGACAAACTCCACTCGGATGTGTTTTTTCATTACAAATTTCAAAGTATTTCTGAGGGTATTTCCCTATTCCTTCTGCATCTCATTTGACACAATTAGAAATGTTACACAATCATAATTTATCAATGATGCCCGATATAATCCTCCTTATCTTCATACATGTATAAGGTACTATGTTCTAATTGTTATTAACGTCTTTGATAAGCATTTAGAAATTGGAATACTGAGTAAGGATCAGCTATATGGATGAACAACTTCTTTATTACAATTAGGAGCAATGTTTCAGTGTAGATTGTACTATCGTCATCAAGCAAGCATGCTTGATAACAATCGTTAGAACCTACCAGTACACCAAAACCTCGCTCCTTATTGTAATAATGAAGCCGTTCATCCAAACATCTTATCCTTACCTAATTTGGGGGGGGGGAGATTTTTTAAATTATTAGAACGCAACAGCTCTCAATTACAGAAAGGATGATTGTTAGGATGCCTCTCTATTCAAATGACTGTTAGTTCAAACAGACCAAAATATTTTCAATGTAGTTGACACCAACTTCCATCTATGAGCTTCAAGTACAACCTCATGTTAGATCAATAACCTTGCTGCAAGAAAAGACAGCCATGTTGGGATTTAGGAGCTACATAATGATGTAAGTAAAAGCTTATATATACAGAAAAGGCAATTCAAGTCATCGTTACACTGCTCACGCCAACACCGGGCAATATATCCAGTATGGCTTGGAAATGAGGTATATGCATGTTGTTACCATGGTTACCATGAATAGATAGACATAGTCCCTGCAATGTAACACATCTGCATGACAATCAGGGCTCCAATGTCAGTCAATAACACAATCATTCATGTGACAGAGCCTCACCACCCAATCCCATGTGACGACAAGTATTATGTACCGGGGGCCTAATCAGACCTTGAAGAACTTTATTTAACAACAGTATCCATGGTTGTAACTAAATTATTACTATACACAATGACAGTAAGTCAAAAACACAAGATCGCAACTGATCATTACTAAAAAGAGTAAATCAAAAATTACCAAACACTGAGCAAGTGTGGCCATCCTCATAAATAAGTTGTTAATTATAGACAATGAGCCACTGGTCTGCTCTCTAGACCCATCAATACCCAGACTTTGAATAAGCACTGAGGAGAATATTGCAGTACTTTCAGCTTATTACAAATAGATAAGTAGGCCTGCAAGATACTATAATCCTAATGTACTGAACGCCAGTGACTATTTATGGTCTCCTAATGACAACATGATATACACCAGATCCGGATGACCATAGCTCCATGTAGATAATGTACTAACTAGCCATGTTCCCATCACCAGCAGCAGCAGTCCCCCTCTCCTCCATAATCATATAACACATTTACCACAATATCGGAAACAACATGTCTTCTAACTCATGCTTAGTGATTTGGGGTTTTGTTCTGACTCAAACAATATTTCAGTTATTTTTCATCCCCCAACTATTGATGACGGAAAGCCCCAAAGTGGCACCAGTAGATGTTACTGCTTCTGAAACCCACTAGCACTAATGTTGTGCTGTCAGATCATAATTTGGATGCAACAACTGATATGCACATGGCAGTTGATGTCCAAAAGCCATAGAACATAAGTACTGGTTTGTGGTACTGACACCTTTTCTCTCAGGGAACTAACAATTGTGATAAAAATCAAGAAAATCACAAGGTACTTGCCCCAGATCACAACTTACGTGGCAAACTGAAAGACATCAAAGACAAACTTCTCCATCTTGATGCCATTTGGTTTGGTTGGCTTCTGGACCTTGCTGTCACTGTCCACATAGGGGATCTTCTTCTTCGCCACATGGTGCTTCAGTTGACTTTCCTGGGGGCCACTGTCACACAATCTCAATTTGTAGGCAAATGGCTAACTGCTTTCCCTGACGTAATCGTGGGACTTTCATACCATTTACTGGAATCTTCTAGTAGTAAAAACCAAGGCTCTCTAAGGCAAATCATCATCTGTTAGACCACTGAGCCTTCTGTGTTCTATAATCATGGTTTAATAGATTCAGACTTGTTTATCACAAACTTCAAGCAGTTCTTATATGGTTCCTTGTACTTTTGATTGAAGAAATGGTTTCAATCCTTCATTACCTTTCAGCATGGACATACCAGTACATGCAATTAATTACATTTGTTTTGTTTTGAGAATTATTTCAAAATGTTATTATTAATGCTAAAAAGACAAAAAGTGAGCAGGGCTCACTAATACCCCCGACTTCGACTCCAACATATTTCCAAGGTCAAAACATGAAAAAAAGCAATACTTCTAGGAAAATTTGTTTATCAAAATCAAACTTGGCATTGCACCTCCCTTATTATAGAGACTGCACCCCCAATTGTAAAAGAATACATGCAGTAGTTTTTAAGTTATAGGTCGCACAAATGTTGAAGCAAAAAAATATTTTAAGTTCAAAACATGAAAAATATCATATATTTTTTCAGAAAATACACATATCAAAATTATACTTTGAACTGCACCTCTTCTATTAGTATGGAAACTATTCCCTAAATTAGAAAATAATACATGAAGTAGATTTGTAGTTAAACATCCTACAAATGTTTCAGGGAAAACATTTTAAGTGAAAAACGAAAAGAAAAAGCTGTATTTTTTTAGAAAATCCAAATATTAAAATCACACTTTGCACTGCACCTCTCCTATAGGCATAAAAAGTGTTCACAAAGTTTGAAAAGAATCTATGCAGTAGTTTTTAAGTTATAGGTCACACAACAAAATGTCCTAGTAAGGATGGATGGATGGATGGAAGGATGGATGGAAGGATGGATGGATGGAAGGACGGATGGAAGAAGGACTGACGGGATTCCTTGGTATAATTATATACCCCGCCCTTTTAGGTGGGGGGTATAAAAATACCTAAACGTAAGACTACACTTATGTATTGGCATGATCTTCATCATGTAAATGTGGTAAATAATTTGATTTTCTTCTGTTGGCACATGTTTCAACATTAATCTATGTATACTTGAGCAAACAGGTTTCTCTGTTGTCTTTATCCATAGCAACAACTTACTCAGATGCATGTTTCAGGAAGTCAAACGTGAAGAAATGATTGCAGATATTGCCAGCATTAAAGGCCAGTCTGCCATCTTCGTTCCTCTTCTCTGCAGTGTCCTGTGTGATTTCACTGTACTCCACCACCTGGTACACACCATCCACCTTACACACCACCCCCACAGCCTCTGTCGGGAACGCCTTCTCCACAACCTGCAACACAGGAGGACTAAATCTCACAAACCCAGTGTACAAATCTTGATCATTCATTTCATTAAAGTTCTTCATATCATATTTTTAAGCAAAAGTTGCCAGTCCTGCTACCATATATCACTATGTATGGGCCAAGTGTTCAAGACCTGGAACAATATGAGACAATATTCTTATGCTCTAATCATCTTGGTTACAACAGTCAACTCAGAAGACTGAAGATAAACTTGCAATAAGTGAGTGAGTGAGTGAGTTGGGTTTTAACGCCGCTTTTAACAGTATTCCAGTTATATCGCGGCGTGTCAGCTTAATGTGGGAGGAAAGCCCGAAGTGATGCAGATCTCAGACGTTTACCACTTCGGTGAAACCCACGAGCACGGGTATGGTGCTGACAAACCTAGAAACATAATCGGGGCGAACCGGGATTCGAACCCACAATCATAGGTTTCTGGCGTGCCCAAGGGACGCAACTCTGCACAGCGAATCGCGGCGCCTTAGACGACTGGGCCACCCATGCCCCAACTTGCAATAAGATATTTAAACTTATGGTATAATAGTGTTAAACTAACTTGGGTACCGGTAATTATGCTTTGATACTTCAGTTGTTACAATATGCATTGACCAGATTATTTCATACATGTGTCTTACAAAAGTCTTTTGTCTTCCAAATGATGAAACATAAATAGTTTGAGTTTTATTAATTCTAATATATATTTACAAAATAGGATGTGTACAACACGTGGTATACTAAAGCAGCAGTATTGCAACATGCCTCCACTACCCAATATTCATAGTTCCAGTATGTATGACTTTATTGTTGCACCTCTATTGCAACAAATTAGCAAACACAACCAACAGATCTTTTATCATACCTTTGCAGCACAGTTAGCTCCCTTTGAGATGCAGAACCCCATGAAGATTGGGTCGGCCATTTTGACAAGAATGTTGTCTACACAGTAGACATGTATGTACTCAATGCCACGCTTCTCCATGTCATCCAGGACCTTGCTTCTACGTAGGGCACGGTACAAGCCTCCATTACCATCTGTAACAACAGAAACTTGCTTTAAATGTCTCCCAACTTGGAGGGATGTCATTCCGAAGTAAAACCTGAATAATGAGTGACAAGGGAGTTACATCACGTCGGGGTCTGATATATATGCTTATGATATCTTCACTTAAACATCATACATGTCAATATTGTGCCACAGGAAGCTCAATCTCATTAAATTCAGATCTAAAACGCTAATACAATACCTCCATGTGTGAAGATCTGAGGACACATATCAGATTGGGGTTGCATTAGTTGAAATTTATGATCAGCCTATCAACATGGAGGATTCTAATTGCTTGGTACAACTATCTGTTCTGTCATACCAGAGTAAACGATCTCATAATAATGAGATTAAAGGAAGCTGATAGTCAAAAGTTAAGTGGAAGCTACTTTGAAGGGGAGCTAGACCTCATTTGGAGCAAGATTACTTAGAACTAGAAGATGAGCTTGATCTTCCCTGGAGCGAGGACTACTTAGAAGATGAGCTTGATCTTCCCTGGAGCGAGGGCTACTTAGAAGATGAGCTTGATCTTACCTGGAGCGAGGGCTACTTAGAAGATGAGTTTGATCTTCCCTGGAGCGAGGGCTACTTAGAAGATGAGCTTGATCTCACCTGGAGCGAGGGCTACTTAGAAAATGAGCTTGATCTTACCTGGAGCGAGGGCTACTTAGAAGATGAGCTTGATCTTCCCTGGAGCTAGAGGTTTTCTTAGAAGATGAGCTTGATCTTCCCTGGAGCGAGGGCTACTTAGAAGATGAGCTTGATCTTCCCTTGAGCGAGGGCTACTTAGATGATGAGCTTGATCTTACCTGGAGCAAGGTCTACTTAGAAGATGAGCTTGATCTTCCCTGGAGCCAGGGCTACTTAGAAGATGAGCTTGATCTCACCTGGAGCGAGGGCTACTTAGAAGATGGGCTTGATCTTCCCTGGAGCGAGGGCTACTTAGAAGATGAGCTTGATCTTACCTGGAGCGAGGGCTACTCAGAAGATGAGCTTGATCTTACCTGGAGCGAGGGCTACTCAGAAGATGAGCTTGATCTTCCCTTGAGCGAGGGCTTCTTAGAAGATGAGCTTGATCTCACCTGGAGCGAGGGCTACTTAGAAGATGAGCTTGATCTTCCCTGGAGCGAGGGCTACTTAGAAGATGAGCTTAATCTTACCTGGAGCGAGGGCTACTTAGAAGATGAGCTTGATCTCACTTGGAGCGAGGGCTACTTAGAAGATGAGATTGATCTTCCCTGGAGCGAGGGCTACTTAGAAGATGAGCTTGATCTCACCTGGAGCGAGGGCTACTTAGAAGATGAGCTTGATCTTACCTGGAGCGAGGGCTACTTAGAAGATGAGCTTGATCTTCCCTGGAGCGAGGGCTACTTAGAAGATGAGCTTAATCTTACCTGGAGCGAGGGCTACTTAGAAGATGAGCTTGATCTTACCTGTAGCGAGGGCTACTCAGAAGATGAGCTTGATCTTCCCTGGAGCGAGGGCTACTTAGATGATGAGCTTGATCTTACCTGGAGCAAGGTCTACTTAGAAGATAAGCTTGATCTTCCCTGGAGCGAGGGCTACTTAGAAGATGAGCTTGATCTCACTTGGAGCGAGGGCTACTTAGAAGATGGGCTTGATCTTCCCTGGAGCGAGGGCTACTTAGAAGATGAGCTTGATCTTCCCTGGAGCGAGGGCTACTTAGAAGATGAGCTTGATCTTCCCTGGAGCGAGGGCAACTTAGAAGATGAGCTTGATCTTACCTGGAGCGAGGGCTACTCAGAAGATGAGCTTGATCTTCCCTTGAGCGAGGGCTACTTAGAAGATGAGCTTGATCTTCCCTGGAGCGAGGACTACTTAGAAGATGAGCTTGATCTCACCTGGAGCGAGGGCTACTTAGAAGATGAGCTTGATCTTCCCTGGAGCGAGGGCTACTTAGAAGATGAGATTGATCTTCCCTTGAGCGAGGGCTACTTAGAAGATGAGTTTGATCTTACCTGGAGCGAGAGCAATTTTGGAGGGACTCTGTAAAATAATCTCTCCATCAAAGCTGAAGCAAGGGAGCAAACTCTGCTCGAACAGAACAACATCTTCCTTCTGTAGACCAAAGTACTTGTTCTTGGCAAAGAACTCTCGTGTAGGCTCCATTGTGTGTTCACTGGTCATAATGTACCTGGAAGTATCATTGACATTGCAATACAGCTGCTACCTACATATCCAGGTCAAATAATTATTTCACCCTTTTTCTTTCATTCTCTTCTGAAAAAAGCAACTCTTTGCTGAGAAAAATTGTTGCCTATGAAATGAAGTGTCATTAATTTACCGCACATGGAATGTATAGTTTTTTCATCATTGTGTAGATCATTGACCATGAAGGCCTCAATCCAAGTATAACAGATGGCAGAGGTGCTGAGGTGAGTTTAAATGGAGTATAACATTGCATTCAAGATTATTGCACTTATATAGCGACGTGCAAGCACATGTGTGTGTGTCAGTTTGTTCTAGTCCGGAGTTATGCCAATTTTATAGTGCTAGCCCACTGAGATACCATGCCACAGTTCAACATGAATACCTCACTCAGACACAATATACTGACTCCGAGCCAACCAGTCCTTGTTTTAGCCCCTTAATGTTCACCAGGCAGGGTAACAACAAGTACCATCTTTTAACATATCTTCATATGATGCGGGCGGGGATCGAAACCACGACCTTCTGCTCTCTGGGCAGAAGCTCTATCACTAGACAACAGAGGCAGAGACTCTTCTTTATATGCGATACACACAATTTCCATGCATTTACAAAGCAGGATATTACCATACCTTCGACTCATGAACAAACATAACATTTTAGGTCTCATTGTGTCTTGTGTCACATCTTCATTTCACAAAAGAGTATGCAATATTCAACATGTTTTCTCAATAATGTAGACAAAAATTTAATGTAAAATACAATAAGCTCACCATGGTATAACTCCTGATTTGCTGGTCTGTTTCTTGCCTAGGTTCTGAACTCTCAAAATACGCTCAGCCTGAATTTGATACAGGGTCTTCTTGGAGGGCAGTCCCACATCGTACATGCCCTTGGGGTAAGGCACCCCAAGCCTGGTCCCTTGCCCTCCAGCCAGTAGCAGCACAGCCACCTTGTTCTCACTCACAGCAGTCAGACCTGGGGGGACACATGTAGGCTTGGTATAGAGGTGTGGGGGGGATACATGTAGGCTTGGCATAGAGGTGTGGGGGGGATACATGTAGGCTTGGCATAGAGGTGTGGGGGGGATACATGTAGGCTTGGTATAGAGATGTGTGCGTGTGTGAGGGGGGGGAGGGTACATGTAGGCTTGGTATAGAGGTGAGGGGGAGACACATGTAGGCTTGGTATAGGTGTGTGGGGGGAGACACATGTAGGCTTGGTATAGAGGTGTGGGGGGACACATGTAGGCTAGGTATAGGTGTGTGGGGGGAGACACATGTAGGCTTGGTATAGAGGTGTGGGAGGACACATGTAGGCTTGGTATAGGTGTGTGGGGGGAGACACATGTAGGCTTGGTATAGGTGTGTGGGGGGAGACACATGTAGGCTTGGTATAGAGGTGTGGGAGGACACATGTAGGCTTGGTATAGAGGTGTGGGAGGACACATGTAGGCTTGGTATAGAGGTGTGGGGAGATACATGTAGGCTTGGTATAGAGGTGTGGGGAGATACATGTAGGCTTGGTATAGGTGTGTGGGGGGAGACACATGTAGGCTTGGTATAGGTGTGTGGGGGGAGACACATGTAGGCTTGGTATAGAGGTGTGGGGAGATACATGTAGGCTTGGTATAGGTGTGTGGGGGGAGATACATGTAGGCTTGGTATAGGTGTGTGGGGGGAGACACATGTAGGCTTGGTATAGAGGTGTGGGGAGATACATGTAGGCTTGGTATAGAGGTGTGGGAGGACACATGTAGGCTTGGTATAGAGGTGTGGGAGGACACATGTAGGCTTGGTATAGAGGTGTGTGGGGGGAGACACATGTAGGCTTGGTATAGGTGTGTGGGGGGAGACACATGTAGGCTTGGTATAGAGGTGTGGGGGGACACATGTAGGCTTGGTATAGAGGTGTGGGAGGACACATGTAGGCTTGGTATAGAGGTGTGTGGGGGGAGACACATGTAGGCTTGGTATAGGTGTGTGGGGGGAGACACATGTAGGCTTGGTATAGAGGTGTGGGGGGACACATGTAGGCTTGGTATAGAGGTGTGGGAGGACACATGTAGGCTTGGTATAGAGGTGTGGGAGGACACATGTAGGCTTGGTATAGGTGTGTGGGGGGAGACACATGTAGGCTTGGTATAGGTGTGTGGGGGGAGACACATGTAGGCTTGGTATAGGTGTGTGGGGGGAGACACATGTAGGCTTGGTATAGAGGTGTGGGGGGACACATGTAGGCTTGGTATAGGTGTGTGGGGGGAGACACATGTAGGCTTGGTATAGAGGTGTGGGAGGACACATGTAGGCTTGGTATAGAGGTGTGGGAGGACACATGTAGGCTTGGTATAGAGGTGTGGGAGGAGACACATGTAGGCTTGGTATAGGTGTGTGGGGGGAGACACATGTAGGCTTGGTATAGGTGTGTGGGGGGAGACACATGTAGGCTTGGTATAGAGGTGTGGGAGGACACATGTAGGCTTGGTATAGAGGTGTGGGAGGACACATGTAGGCTTGGTATAGAGGTGTGGGGGGACACATGTAGGCTTGGTATAGGTGTGTGGGGGGAGACACATGTAGGCTTGGTATAGGTGTGTGGGGGGAGACACATGTAGGCTTGGTATAGGTGTGTGGGGGGAGACACATGTAGGCTTGGTATAGAGGTGTGGGAGACACATGTAGGCTTGGTATAGGTGTGTGGGGGGAGACACATGTAGGCTTGGTATAGGTGTGTGGGGGGAGACACATGTAGGCTTGGTATAGAGGTGTGGGAGGACACATGTAGGCTTGGTATAGGTGTGTGGGGGGAGACACATGTAGGCTTGGTATAGAGGTGTGGGGGGAGACACATGTAGGCTTGGTATAGGTGTGTGGGGGGAGACACATGTAGGCTTGGTATAGGTGTGTGGGGGGAGACACATGTAGGCTTGGTATAGGTGTGTGGGGGGAGACACATGTAGGCTTGGTATAGGAGTGTGGGGGGAGACACATGTAGGCTTGGTATAGAGGTGTGGGAGGACACATGTAGGCTTGGTATAGGTGTGTGGGGGGAGACACATGTAGGCTTGGTATAGGTGTGTGGGGGGAGACACATGTAGGCTTGGTATAGGTGTGTGGGGGGAGACACATGTAGGCTTGGTATAGGTGTGTGGGGGGAGACACATGTAGGCTTGGTATAGGTGTGTGGGGGGAGACACATGTAGGCTTGGTATAGAGGTGTGGGAGGACACATGTAGGCTTGGTATAGGTGTGTGGGGGGAGACACATGTAGGCTTGGTATAGAGGTGTGGGGGGACACATGTAGGCTTGGTATACGTGTGTGGGGGGAGACACATGTAGGCTTGGTATAGAGGTGTGGGAGGACACATGTAGGCTTGGTATAGGTGTGTGGGGGGAGACACATGTAGGCTTGGTATAGAGGTGTGGGGGGGATACATGTAGGCTTGGCATAGAGGTGTGGGGGGGATACATGTAGGCTTGGTATAGAGATGTGTGTGTGTGTGAGGGGGGGGAGGGTACATGTAGGCTTGGTATAGAGATGTGTGTGTGTGTGAGGGGGGGGAGGGTACATGTAGGCTTGGTATAGAGATGTGTGTGTGTGTGAGGGGGGGGAGGGTACATGTAGGCTTGGTATAGAGATGTGTGTGTGTGTGAGGGGGGGGAGGGTACATGTAGGCTTGGTATAGGTGTGTGGGGGGAGACACATGTAGGCTTGGTATAGAGGTGTGGGAGGACACATGTAGGCTTGGTATAGGTGTGTGGGGGGAGACACATGTAGGCTTGGTATAGAGGTGTGGGAGGATACATGTAGGCTTGGTATAGAGGTGTGGGGGGACACATGTAGGCTTGGTATAGAGGTGTGGGGGGACACATGTAGGCTTGGTATAGAGGTGTGGGGAGATACATGTAGGCTTGGTATAGACTCACAAAACATTGCAGCTACATGTAGTAAACACTTACTACAGTTCCAAGTTTAGATGAAAAATCTTGAATAGTTTTTTCGAAATGACACCTATCTCCATTTCAGCTACCTAAGTCTAAGACAGACCAGATGATGACTATATCCCATGCATTATAGTACCAAACTGTGATTTGTTTTTGTTTATTTTGACTGAACATGCAGCATGTCATTTAAGAAAATGAAGTCCTCCAAACAAAAAAGAAATACCAATATAGTCTTAGGTTGATTCAAAAGGTCATTATAAAGTCTATTTTGCCTGTGTGTTTCAAGTACATTGTCTGTACTTGGGTTATATGATAGCCCATGTTGTCATTCTTCCCATGAAATGCTCCGCCCCAACTGTCTTTGCTATTTCTGTCTTATCACTTTTTTAAGAACTGTAACAGTATCAGCTATGTGGATTGTTCACTTTTGCGTGACTATCTACATTACTTACAGCATGAAACGGCTACAAGTGCTGTCAACGTGAAGGGAATACAGATATAAAGAAAGCTGTAAAGTAGTTGTGCAGAGAAACCTGTATCGTCTGTCAAGCTAATTATGTTTCTCATCTTTCAAATGAAGCTTAGATGGTTACAGTTTTCCTAGGAATGTAAATGAATGTTGTCATATACCCTACTCAACAATAGACAGCTTCAATGCAGCATTATCCAAGTGATAACACTAAAAGTACTGGTACTTATACCTGCAGTTGGTACATAATCAAGTAGACACTTCAGATAAAAATTACACACCACCATTTTAGGACAAACATGACTGCGACCTGTGAACCAGGAAGGTGACAGCACCTGGTATCAGGTGGCTTTGATTGTGAAGTGAATGAGTGATTAGGCTTAATGCTACTTTCAAACAGTGTTTGAAATAATCTTAAAACCCAACTAGACAGTTGGGCAGGTGACGCATAAGTATTACCTGCCCCCATTCACATCATGAAGATTGAAAAATCGCAAAAATTAAGAGACAAATCGTGTCTTGATTCAATTCAGATGAAATAATGCAAATAATTACTTGAGAATCTGTACGGAGTAATCATGGCTACAATAAAACTGAATATGTAAGTTTTCTAAAATTAGCTGCCTGACAGTCAGGCAGGTGGAAGAAAATTTCATGCAGCCTGACAGAAAGGTTCACACAACTTGCCTGTGAACATGTGATATAGTAGATATGTAACAAAGTAGCACTTACCGCTCTTCTCATAACTCTGAAGTGTTTCTGGGTCAGTCTTGGAGAAGCTGCCACAGACCCCTGAGGACAGGGGCTGAAGATGGTCATCTATCTTCTGGGCAGAAGAGTTCAGGGACTCCTGTGCATTCTTGTAAAAGGTGGTGACTTCTTCATAGTCGATATTGGTGAGTTCCTTATAGAAGTGCTCCTTGTCCTCTGAACTCAGCCCGTCCCAGAACTTGAGCAGGTGCCCCTGTCCATGCTTGTTCAGGGTGGATCTCAGACCATCTATGTCCATACTGACTGGATGTTTATGTAGGTGATGTGTGCAGTTATTTGCTGCAATGAATGAAACTGATCTTGAAAAGGTTGTCAGTACTAAAAGTTGCAGCTATCCCTGACCAACTGGACCAAAGATGTGTAATCTATTGCAGATTGTGGGGGAAATATTAGTATGCTAGGGTCAAACCTGGTGTTCATTCTAGATCGTGCATAGCGGTAAAACCAATCTGTTTCAATAATGCAGAAGGAATTCCCATCCACATACGGCAGTTGGGCAGATGGTTTCCAATATTAATGAATCTCTTATTATAACCTTAATATGAATCATTTATAAATTGATGGTCTTTACGTTGGAAGTGAGAAGAGTGCAAGCTCAATCACAATGTGTGACACCTTAAATCACTCTCATATGATAGCACATGGCAGTGTTCCCGTTTAACGGTAAAATTAGGCTTGGACCGGTAATTCATGTGACTTCCAGTCCCTGTGGACTGGCAAATAAAGTACTTATAGATCTTTGTTGTGAACAAAAAATCGGTGATATTCATATATTCAGATATAAGTACATTTATCGAACAAAGTCAGCTTGTCTGTTACCATCAGGGTTTACCCTTGTCTATTTCTAGGTCTTTGTCTGAAAATATTAAAAAATAAAGAGAAAATTGTGACTGAGTTTGTGTGAATGATGAAAAGAACTAACTAAGTTACTTCAGAGATGGCATCTTTGCACTGAACATGAAGTTGACAGAATTAAAACCAATTCATAAACCAAACCTGCATTCATATGTTTTTTAATTGTTGAAAGTTGGGACTGGTAATTTTTTAGAGTTGCCAGTCGACAAGGACTGGCAGTTTCAAAAGCCAGCGGGAACACTGCATGGGGGCACAGGTGGCCAAGTCATCTGAGGCGGCACGATTTGCTGTGCAGAGTTGCCAGAAACCTATGATTGTGGGTTCGAATCCCGGTTTGCCCCGATTATCTTCCTAGGTTTGTCAGCACCATACCCGTGCTCGTGGGTTTCACCGAAGTGGTATATGTCTGGGACCTGCATTACTTCGGGCTTTCCTCCCACCTTAAGTTGACACGCCGTGATGTAACTGGAATACTGTTAAAAGCGGCGTTAAACCCAACTCACTCACTCACTATGATAGCACATGGAATGAGATATCGCTGTAAGGAGTTTTGTTGCAATATCTGGCACATAAAATAGGCTTTTTTATTAGCTTGTGTATCACACTAACTTGGGTAAATAATTCTCTACCCGCATGTCGGAAAATCATTAACATAGAAGTAGTTTCAACAGTTTTGAGACTTTTGAATACTACTGATACAAAGAATGAAAAAAGACGCATCTTGCCATTGGACAGGTGAAAAGCAGACTCTCCAGTTCATGAATCTTTTAAAGATCAGCGAGGTCCACAGCAAATGAAAGAGCATGTTGATTACAGCTCTGTTGTCACAATAAGGATGGGCGAAATATCATCCCCGACAGATGGCTTATTCCAAGCGATGTGGCGGTCTTAGAGTAAGGCTCACCAAGCAGTTTGCGGCTCCATTTTTCACAGGACCCCACTTTATTGTCATTGGTGGGCCTGAACTGCCCTTCATTTTGAGAAATAGAATGAACACAGGTCACCAATAAAAGGTGAAGCCCATGTCTTGAAACAAGTTGTAATGTATAGAGAATATTTTATGTGTCAAGTGAAATATCATGTTTTTTCTCATCGGGTGACGGGGGGAAAGGGGATTTTTTCACAAGTGGCGTAGCCAGGATATACATTTTGTTTACCAAAAATTTAATTCTTATCATTACAAACATAAAACCTTGAAACATTAATTTTCTCTACCTAACATGCAGGGACGTTTCACCACCCCTTGTAATTGCAACTTAAGAGAAGTTCTGAGTTTGCAAAATCTTAAGAAATATAAACAAAAGGAATAAAAAATATATGAGGTCACTAAAATTCTTTATCATACGTTTTCTATACAAACTCAACGCCAAAAAAATAAATTCTTGCAAGCTACAAGACTGCTGTTGGAAGCGAAGGAATACACACTGGTCAAGTAACTAAAATGGCGTTTTGCGAAACAAACAGTCTTGACTGACGAGTTAAAAGGGAAATTTACTGTTTACTATGAAACATTTTCAAGAGAATAACAAACGGCAAGCCCGTAACTATCTTTCGGAATACCTCGGAACTAAGATCTGATTTTAATGAGATTGATAATAAATCTCAAACACTAGTCTTCATGTTTCAACTGTTTCAAAGTGAAAGCTATTTACAATCTAACTGAAGGGAACATTTTAAGTTGTATTACGCAAAGGCAGATGCAAATTCTTCAAAGGCTGAAAAACAGGCTGTTTCCATACAATCTGCAGGATCAGGTCTGGTGCAGCAGGTTGTAACCACAGGCAAACATCAATCTATCCACACCATCTGCACCAAATCATTTAAAACTATTGAAAACATTCAGTGTACCGGTCCAGGGCCACTACTGGTATTCCACTTGTCCAAAACTAGTGAAAGGTTGTAGCAAGTACTAGTGAGTGAGTATGGTTTTACGCCGCTTTCAGCAATATTCCAGCAATATCACGGCGGGGACACCAGAAATGGACTTCACACATTGTACCCATGTCGGGAATCGAACCCGGGTCTTCGGCCTGACGAGCGAACGCTTTAACCACTAGGCTACCCGACCAACCCTGTAGCAAGTACTAACTAACAGTAGTTTCCTCTCTAAACGTAGCAATGTCAAGCATCCTAAACAACAAGAATTAGGACAAGATGACACACAATGCACAGGTGTGTCTTTATGGAAAGTTTTTATGGGGACAATCTATTCTACTCAAGAATTGCCACAGGTATATTGGCAATCCATGGGGATATTGCTAATAGATGTTATTATCAGAACCTTCAAGTACAAGACACATGAATAACAACACTAAAATCACCTAATGATTTATTAGTGTTTGTTTGTTTGTTGTTTATCTCCGCACTCATCAATATTCTAGCTATATGACGATGATCTATAAATTATCAGTCTGAACCAGACAATCCAGTGATTGACATCATCAGCATCGATCCACGCAATTGGAATACGACATGCATCAACCAAGTCAGCCAGCCAGACCACCCGATCCCCTTAGTTGCCTCTTACAACAAACACAGTCACCTTTTACAGCAAGAATGGGTTGCTGAAGACCTATTCTACCAAAGATATTCACGGGTCGATTATTAGTGAGAAGTGTAATACTGTCCATATATTGTCATAAATAAAATTACTACACCTGACACTTACCTTCAACTTAAACTATAAGATATCGAAGAAAATCTTAAATGCACTGAAAAATTTAAAATTGAACTTGCAACATCCAAGTGAAGATTCACTGTTCTTCAGTCTGCTACTGCTAGCTTTTCAATAAAAGTCAAGACACTGGCATCCCAATCAATACAATGTCCATGACACTTCTTGCTTGACCTGTCACACTATGCAAGCAAACAAGTAAATGTACTGTTGACTGACCTGAAATACCCTTCATCCAACCGTCCCTATCTCTCACCCAGCGGGTGTGTTACAAGTCCTTGTGTAAACTGATAACACGCCCCCACTTTCTCCAGTGATGTACCCGAGGTAGTTGACAGTGCTTTACCTACATAAACATCAGAAACTCCTTATTTTCACCACATCACACTTGAGGGATATATATATATACAGGCTGCATGTGTGTTATCTGTGACTATGTGGGTTAATTACTCTGTCATTAACAACACAAGACTGTCACAAGTGTTTACTGCCTCCCTTTATCACATGGAACAATCACTGGAATGATTCTTCTCTGTAAGTGTCATGTGTAATGTGACAAGCCCTCCAGTCAAAAGTGAGGGATTAGCAACACCCAGTGTAAGGGAGTAGTCCTGGGGTCAGTACTAAAAGATGCAGCTATCCCTGACCTACTGGACCAAATGACAAAACAGAAGTGCCTATCTAAACAAGATTACATCATAACTTGCATGTTCTTTGTCTTAATCACCCTGCTTGCCTGTGGCAACCACTGAAAAGCTATCTCTCTACTGATAACAGTTTTGAATTGTCTAGAAATAACATCAACCAAATGTAGAGATTAAAGGTGGCCTGGGGTTTGGGTGTACTTTTTGATATTTTTAATTGATGTTATTGATCACTATTATTAGAGATTTTTATTGCTCTGAACATACTGAATATTAATATCCATAATAGGAGCTGTTACCACAATATAGAAGGGGAGGGGGGAAGGTGCTCAGCAAGAAAATGATACTGTCCTAAGAACAATCTCTCCAGACACCCACCAGTCCCTAATTTTTAGTCATGAAATAATTGAATGAATTACATACGAGTAATCACATTTAAAAAGAATGTAAATGGTTAAAAAATATTTAGTTGTAAACTCTGTTCAGATTACATTAGAGAAACATTATTTGATCAATTTCTATATTTTGTGCAGTTCAGCACATAGATCTGCAGTCAAATCACAGTCTCTGACACAACACAACATCTTGCAAACAGTAGAGAATGGACAAATGACAAATCTTAACTCTTAAAGAACACGTTAAACAGGAATTGTTTTATTTTTTTACCATGTGGTAGGGAGTGATTTTCTGTACTGACTAAAGGTTTAAGTTACTTTCGTAAATCAACAATTGAAGAAAAGTCAACTCAGTATTTTTGTGTAGGCTTCCCCCTTTTTTTTTCCATAAAAAAGCGCTGGTTTTTAAATGTGAGGGGTCAATGGGGCCCTTGTTAATCAATTACTGGAATGAAAACTGAGACATATGGTAACTCTTGTGTTTCCAGACTGCATGCAATTGAAGCTGTTCACATGATTTACAAAACAGCCGACAACACGAGATCTGTGCAGAATTATATAAACTGGCTTTGGTCATGTACATTTTAGAGGCAAACTGAAGAGAAAGTTTGCATGTTTTTCTTACGGATGAGTTACAAAATATGAATTGCCAGCTTGATTGGATTAGAAACCAGTGTTCATCAATAACAATATAAATGCTTCGGTTATATGAAGCAAATCACGTTGCAGAACACTCTCCAACCCAGAGTTCCTTGCGGCCAGCCTAGTACCAGCGATAGAAACTAACAGTTTCAGTCCACTAGTCCTTATAATGATTACATATTGCAAAACCATTAGTTCTACTATTCCTCGTGATGCCTTAAGGAATAGAAATTAACCTAGAAAGTTCTACTAGCTTGAATTGTGATAACACATAAAAACATCCCCAAAATGTTCAAAATTCTACTATACGTGTAACTAACTGCATTCAATGAAGAAATGAAAAAAAAATCAAGCGCGAGCCAAGATCTTTCCGGAGACAATTAACCACAAGAGTACCATTTCCCTGAAATGACATGATACACTCCTGCAAGCTTATCTGGCACATTGTCACTATGACCTTTATGCATGTTTTTTTTTCCCAAATGCCTATCACACATTTGACAAGATTGTTCACGTTCAGGTTTGGGCCTGTCCCTCCAGGCCAAGCTACATGGCCTGTCAAAATGCACTGTGCATTATATATGTAAATCTGTTGGATAATGCCATGCCAATGCAAAATGAATGAATGGACGAAAGAGTGAATGTTGCTTCATGTTTCAATATTACAGTTACATGAAGACAGCTTGTAAATAATCAAGTGTGAGACAGGCAAACCAATGGTTGACTGCATGAGCAACACGCCATGCAATCAAGGTAAGATGACCCACCATTAGCCTTGTGACATCTTAAAAGCACTCAATTCACACTTTGGTAGGCAAGCATCAAATATAAGGGTGGTGGGGACAAGTTCAGTCACAAAATCCTAACAGGGACCTGTTGTTTTTAACCAAAGCATGACTATGGCATATATTGTATTTTAGCACAGACATCACAGGAAAGTTCACTTTCTTTACTTGAAAAACATCAGTAGCCATTTGTGACCATTAGATATAATGTGCAACATTATTTACATTTATTTCACAAAGGTGGGCAATTAAATTCTGGAAAAATATATCTGTCATGCATAAACATTTCAGGCTGTCAGCATAACCACAAAATTTATCTTTCAACTCTGTTTTTTCCTCCAAATAATATTCTAATAAGAGCCCCCTATTCCTAATTTTGAGAGCACCCTGGGCGCTTATTACGTTGAATACGGTAATTCTTAGTTGCAAATGCAATAAATTTCAAGGCAATGTATAGGCCTGTTATAGGTACTTGTTGATGAAAATAGTGAAAATAGAGTTATGCTCCATTTCAACACATCTGAAGAGTTTAAGTTCATGGTCTGACTCAACAGAGTAGTATCTAATGTCACAGCACGATGTGAACAGTCACGCCAATATACCATAGTCAACATAGATTATTGCCTGCTTCATGAGCATGGCCACATGTGAACTAATGCATGACCAGTCAACTTGACAAAATAGGTCTTTCATGTATTTGAGTGTTCATAGATCATAATACAACAAACACAATTGAGTATACTGGTTTAGACTTCTCTTGCATAACAGCTGTCATAAGCTGTATGCATTTACAGATTGAGAGAAACTCAACGACTTGTTGAGACTTGCTTGAGACTTGTGGTTGGTTGGTTGGTTTGTTTGTTGTTTAACGCTGCACTCAGCAATATTCCAGCTATATGACGGCAGTCTGTAAATAATCGAGTCTGGACCAGACAATCCAGTGATTATCAGGCTTGTGGGTTAAGTTGCAAATGAGTAGATTAATAACATAGCATAAGGAAATGCCATGTCTAATTCATCATATCTATTGTGAGTATTGTGAACGTTGAAAGTTATTTTTGTCATATCAGGGCATGTGAACCTAATATGGAAGGAAAGCCCAAAGTGGTGCAGGTCATCATCACGTGTACTGCCCTGACGAAACCCATGAGTTGGTGGGTGACCAACATGGAGAAGAGAATCACAGGTTTGAACCTATGTACAGTGGATACTGGCATGGCCTCCGACCACTGCTCCAACCATGGACAAATGGACAAAGAGCATTTTTGACTTGTCCATGGAAAAGTTCACATCTATACTGAAGTGTCCAAATATTGTCATTTTCACAGAATACATTTCCATATCATATCAGAGCGCCTGAATCTAAAACTGTGACCCATGATTTAAACATATGGAAAGACAACTGCCATATGTAAACATTGTTTTATATCACTTCTGGTTGCTGAACTAAATTGCACTGGAATACAAATAACGTTATAAAGAAATAGATTCCTCTCTCCAATTTGTTTAAAATGCCTCCCATCAAATATTTAAAAAACATTTGGACATTTTGGATGAAAATCCTATGAACATATTTATTGTGAAATGCTCAGACACTTTATCTAGACCTGCTCTGAGGCTGAGCAGTTTTGAATCCTAGATAAATCCCTGTTCCAATCAGATTGTCAGTCAATCAGCTGAATGTCAAACATGCCAGTCGCATGTTGAATAAATCAGCATATCCTGGTATAATAGCCACTCTTGAGATGTGATGCAAAACTCTGATATATTACACTACTGACACAGAGAATAAAGCCCTGTCATTCTATACAAACCAGGCATAACAAGAACTTAAGAGTAAACAATGAAAGTAAACCAACAAAGTGTGTTTATCAATACATATAATCTTACTCCACCATGAAATATGCAAAGCTAAAACAACTAAATGTTAAGCCAAAGTCAATTTGATAGGTTATGACAGTTTCAATTAAACACAACATATTGCAAGGGCTGAATTGTAACATGAGGACAGACAGAACCAATCCATCTACCTGTCAATTTTCAGCCATTTTTCATTAATTATCTTTTCAAAGTATGTGTCCAGTAACCTTTTACCTTAAAATTTAGCTATATTGACTGTTTGATCTCACCCGCTGGCTCCAGCAAAGACTTAAGCTGGAGGAAATGGATAGCATTTCTTGTGTCAAAACAATTACAGGTAACGCCAAATGCAGTGTTACAAATTGGCACTAGTCCTATAGTCCTTGCCAAAATGCACAATAGTTAAGGTACGAAAAGTACTTATAGAAATTGCCCTTTTTAATGGTTTTGCTATATGTTATCATCACAAGGACTAGTGGTCTAAAACTGTTAAGTTTCTAGAGGTGAAAAGGTGGATGCCCCTCAGTATTACACACAATAAAAAATGGCAAATATGGTAAAAGGCACAATGCAGTAATAAATTTATATATTTTAAACCTTTTTTCCCTCCTGCCTTCAGGTAATTTGGGGATATAAATCTGTAAAACAAGTAATAAACTGTTCAGCCCTGGACCTAAAACTACTTTCCCTTGAGATTACAAATCTTTCACACATTCAACTCACATTTAGCTTTTAAGTTTAACAGCTGAGCTTCGCAAGCCATGGATTTATCACCATTATAGGAGCCCTACAATCATCACAGAACTTTGTGTTGCATTACACTGCTGGCAGGACACTGGGCTAAGCATGCCCCTTTGTAAGTAATGTGTTGGACTAACAAGTCTCTTACACTACAAACTAACTCTAACGAACGAAATCCTCAACCAGTGATAAGTAAAGCTATTGTGTGCAAGAAATGGGGTGATTAGCATTATTAAGGAAAATGGACTTGCCAAGGCCCTCCTGTGGGTATTGTTCACA